ATTTTGCCACGCTTTCATGCTTTTTTCCATAGTCACATGCATTGCTAAAGAATTCGGTTGGGTATATTATGGCGTTTACTAGAGCTCTGCAACTTGTTGTATCTCTTCTTCTACAAACCTCACCAAACCGAGACGCAGTCAACCTCATTCTTCGATGAAGACGCCACAAATTGCAATCCTGAGATTTTGTGGCTTGCTCGATCTGGGAAATTTTGGAGTCGGTTTTTGCAAGTTTTTTCAAGAATTCTACCTTGGCAGCCACTATATCGTCGTTGCTCATGTCAGGCTTCTCACAGAATTCCCCATAGGATGCGTTCTCTTTAGTATCACTATCTCTGATTTTAATTTTCCTTGGTTTCAGCTTCCTTTTCAGATTTTTGTGCGCTCTCCTTTCTTCAACTTTAGCAATCAAAGAGGTTGGACTGAAACTAGGGAGTAGCCGCTTTTGGATCACACAAACAGGTCGCTGTGTATTGTGGCTCACTACGGCTGCAGCACATCTTCCTTGGTAGGATCTCTTCTTGCAATAATTAATCCGTTTACCCCCAATGAATTTAGCTATGATTGAGTTAAACTGCTCTACAATACTATTATCGACGTCATGAAGTAAACTTACTGCATTTTTAATCAGAATTGCCAGAAATGATATCAGCCTCTGGTGCAAATCTAAAAAAAAAAAGGTATACACACCTGAATTTGAAGATCCATGCCATCTGTCTCTGTTAGAGAATGCATATGCGAAACCTTGCTGTCATTTTTAAGCTAAAATAACATATAAAATATAGTTATAATAGTAACTACGTATAGTCTAATTTATTGGCAAAATGAATGCTAAAATTCATAATTGTTTTGGTACCTACTTTTCTATCTGGAAAACGTTTTTTTTTCCTGTGCGTATTTAAATGCGGCTTCTTCGAGACGCCACGTTTATTTCTCTTATTGTTCATTTTTGATACCTTGATAAGAAAGACACTCAACAATAACAGCACAACAATAACAACACAACAATAACAACACGATAATACAACAATACAATAACGGTAATAAGAGTAATAAGGGCTGAGTATACTATGCGCCAAAATAGGGAAACAGTCGTACGCTAGATCGTATATCCAAATCAAATCCGACTCTGTGCAATATGCAAATTCAACCAGGCACGCGAACAGCACACCTCTGCGTATTACTATCCTTTTCTAACGTAGAGCGCTTGCCTTGTCACAACGCCGTCCTACTAGCCTTTCCCTATCACCCCCCCGATTCCCCTCAGAAACTCTGCTTGACTGTGAGAGCGCCGTTAACTAAAGTAGTTTACCTCTGACCTATTTCTTTCTTGTATAATGGTTACGTATCTTAAAACAGCTACAACCTGAAATGTTTTATGCTTTAATTTCATTTGGGGAGTTATACAAAATTTTAAACACATGCAAATATGGGTTTTTTCAGTGGAAGATAACCTATGTATTGGATAATTAACCTTGACTGTTCGAGTATTTTAACAGTTTGCACCTCAAGCTCAAATAAATGTTTATTTAAAAAAATATATATACAGTAATGGACAAAAGTATATAGACAAAATAATATTGTGCTGTATTTCTTTTTTAATTTGTTTTATTAATACACAACCTGTATTCATAATTCGTTATAGCATAATACTTACTTATACATAAATAAACTCATTAGACTCCCTTCAATAAAAAATTAATTGAAAAAACTGGAACTATGAAGGGCAAAAATATATAGACAAAGCAAAACAATTATAGAAAAAAGAAGCAAAGTTCATTGAATTATAGAAAACCAACCATGTTTGTGTTAATATTTTGTAGCATAACCATTATTATCAATCACCGCCTGGCATCGTCTCGGCATAGATTGTAGAAGTTTCTTGATGTAAGATTCATCAATCTGTCTCCATGTTTGCTCTAAAGCGGCAAAAAGTTCATCATTGTTTGAATAATTTTTATCTTGTATTAGCTTATCTAAGTATTCCCATAGATTTTAAATGGGGTTTAAATCGAGAGACTGTGAAGGCCATTTGGGAACTGGTATTTTTTCATCCAGAAAGAATTTCTTTGCGACATTTGAAGTGTGCTTCGGGTCATTATCTCGCTGGAAGATTGATCTTAAGGGCATATTGTCTTCCACATAGGGTAACATGACATGCTTTAGTATGTCTGTGTATACAAACTTACGCATAATACCATCTATTCTATGTAAAGGCCCCATCCCAAACCACGAAAAGCACCCCCAAACCATAACAGACCCGCCTCCATGTTTGACAGTGAGCAAAGTGTACTTGGGGTTCAATCTTTGTCCACTAGGACGTCTAACGTAATGAACATCATCTGATCCAAACATATTGAACTTGGATTCATCACTGAAACATACCCTCTTACTGTCACAGATGCTCCAATCAAGATGTAACCGTGCACATTGTAATCGGTCTTTACGGTATTTCCTCGAGATTAGCGGCTTCTTACTCGGGCGACGTGCAAATAACTTCAAATCATTTAATCTTCTACTTATAGTTTTCGTAGAAACACTGGCAATTCCTTTTGTCTCGATTTCGGCTTTTATTTGTCTTGGGATCTTTGGACGAAATTACTTTTATTAAACTAACTGATCTAGCATTTAGTTTTCTAGGCCAACCACTTCTCTTAGAGGCTTCCAAGATACGTTTTTGTTTATATTTGTTCAATATTGCCCAAACTGCTTTACGCTTCAGCTTCAAATTTTGGGCAATGTCGACTTGACGTTCACTATCTTTGTATAACTCAATGATCTTAGTTTTCACATCGAAAGAAATTTCTGGACCACGCAGCATGGTCTTAAAATCACTCAACTTATTCCACAATACTTGATGATCACAAAAAAATCCTCTTCTGACACGAAACTGTACTAAACTAATGTTGAAAAGAATTTGTCTACATATTTTTGTCCCTCATAAAAAAGTGCTTATATTCAGACTTGTATTGTGTTCATTGCAGATAATGTAAAAACAGGAAATTTAGTTTTTCTACTAATAACGAATTTGTTTATGGATGAATTCGTTTTCTAAAGGTATTTAGGTAAATATTCATATTTGTCTATATACTTTTGTCCATCACTGTATATGACACTCAGATGGCATATAAAGGTATATATAGTTTCATTGAAATTTAGTCCCTTTATCAGACATACTGCTCTGTTTTGAACAACCAAAATTATTTGAGTAAACCTATTGTGCCCCCAAAAAATAATCGCGTACTTTAAAATTAGCATAATACAATATTTTCATACTCGAATTATTTAGCTATCTTGCTGTTACCCTAAAACTATAACAAATGGAACTAAGCCTCTTCAGCAGTTCGAATACATGTGTTGCCCAATCTGTAAATTCATCATTATAGATGCCTAAGAACTTTACACTTTCACTCAACTGCAGTCGATGATCATCTATATTGATACAGTTCTGAATAAAGTTGAATCAGTTTTGGATTTATTCAACACCAGTTTGTTCTCAGAAAACCATGTATTCACACTTCTGCATAAGATGTTCCCATTAGTAGTTAGGACCTCTACACTTGTCCCACCCAGCACTAAATTTGTGCCATCAGCATAGTAGATAATTTTATGGTTGTTCTCATTAGCATTAGTAACAAAAAAGATCATTTTAAAAAAACGACAAACAAAATGGGCACAAGTACTACACTGTGCTAAACCGGTTGAAATCAACTCGATGTTTGACTTAACAACTCAATGTTTGACTTGTAAGTTTACCTTCCTTAGCAGTTTCAACCCCCTATTGTCTTGTATAGGGGTATGACTTGAACAGCTCAAGTGCAGTTCCTCTAACACCATATCTTTGTAGTGATATTTTGTTTCTTTTTCCATTTTTCAAATACCTATACAGTATGTTATGACAAAGATCTGAACAGTCCTGTAACATGCTGTGGTTGCGCGAGACCATCATTGTATCCTTAAGATGGCACCGCGCAAAATCAGCAAAGCCCAGTACCAGAAAACAAAATATATTGTCACAGATGTCAATTGTAATTGGAAAAAAGACCACAGTGATGGTAGAAACGTCGTAAACTATACTGAAATCTAAATATACTATATATGTAGCTTTCATTCGGCGAGACAATGTTTAATTTGAGATTTAGTATATTTTCTTGCCATTTCCTGACTTTCTTGTCATTTTAGTTTTTATTTCACCTGCATCGACTGATCTAAGCAGACATCTAAATCCATGGTATTTGCTTTAAAAATCGGTGCTATATAAAAATGCAAGCTAGAGTGAAAAGTTGTTTTGTACGCCTGAGCAATTTTTCTCATTCACTTGTAACACTTACAAATATCAAAGACATGCCAGTGTATAATATTTAGAAGAAAGTATTTAATTATTTATTTCAAGATTTACCTTTAGGATTTTTAACCTTTTGCCGTTATGTTAGTGGTATAATGAATCGAAAAGAATGCATTTTTTATATTAAAAATGATTGTCCAGTATACAGAACGATTAAAAAAATGTTAGCAATATTTTTAGGATGTAAAGTACTTCCAAAATACACGGAAATATTTCATAAACTGCCCCCAGTATGACTTAAAATCTCAGTCCAGGTTGTATGAACAGCATAACAAATATAATTGATTATTGGGTTGTTAACATGTTCTTTAAGAAGATGTCCAAATGCTGTATTTGGACGTTCGCATACAAGTTCCATCGTAGCAGCCATGTTGCCAAGTGGGATCGCTACTTTTTATTTTTTCAAGTAGGTCTTAAATAGTGAATATTTGTTCTATTCTATTTCAAAAAAATTGATTCCGCCTTACTTTAAGTTCGACGTTGGAAATTATATATATTCGATCTCACTACAACTTTGTTTGAAGAATATTCATACAATATAATGTGTTATGATATTTTTGGATGCATTTTCTGCTTTAAAATATTGCCATTGTTTTTTGTTTCTTTTGTATTCAGCATTGAATTTTTGATAAAATGCATATTAATTTTCTTGCAGGGTGCCATTCGCAGAACGCAAAGTCGACGGCCAACGATTCGGTGAAGGAGAACCAAACCACATTTGCGCGGATATCATGCGTAAAACAGGGGCCCATATCGAAATATCACAAGGAAAGGATCAATCGATAACATTCTTAGTCACAGGCATTACTACAGAAGTATCAGAGGCGAGGAAGAGAATTTTGCAACGGTTCCAAACACAGGTCAGTATGATAAGTAATGAATCTAGTATCGGGGGTCACAAGCCCTTTGTAGATGATGATTAGAAAGTAAATGAACACTGGATACCTATCACAAGCCCTCAACTGCACTCTCACTGCGATGTATTAGGGTAAAAAAATGTGAACTTTTGTAATTCCTTACCTCCGTGGGTTAAGATTTTTTTTAAATATGAACGTGTATTCTACATGTTAAGATCTACAACATATCAATTAAAAAATAGCCACATGCCATACGGGTTTTCATGGTTATTTTTAATAATATTACTTATTAGACAACTTCTTATCTTATAACGATCATTTTTTACTTGATATTATTTTCGTTGGTGTGCACTATATAAGAAAACATAGTGTACATTAATACGAGGTCTGTAAATGAAGTGCTGAGACTGATTATTTTTTTACCAACCTGAGCAATTTATTTCAGGTGAGGGAGGATTCTGATATTAACAATGAATACAGCATGACAACTAAATTAATTTATTCATCTAAATCAGTCGGAATTTTTTTACTTTTAACGTAGCATATTCAAATTTGTGATTTTCAGGCTAATAAACAACTATCGATTCCGAAAGAGCACCATAGATGGATCTTGGGCAAGAAAGGAGCACGTTTGAGAGAATTGGAGAAAACCACAGCAACGAACATATCTGTCCCGTCGATGGAAGACCCATCCGACATAATCACCATTTCCGGTACGAAAGAGTGCATCGAAAGAGCAGAACACGAAATAAGGTAATATTTGTTTGTTTGTTGAAGATTTATTTAGCAATAATGCTACAATGTCAATTTTGTATAAAATCATTCTTTTACACATTTTACTTCCCACGCCTACTGGTGGGGAGAGTATTGTAAACGCGAAAATTTTAGAAAATGATATATTAAGTTTGTTTTTGAAAGTTATATGACACGTACATAACGAAAAAGCATGTCACTCATGTCTGTCGGTCTGTCCGCTAATCTTATAACCGCATATAACTTCAGAAGTACCACTCGAAATTCGATGAAGTTTTCAAACAAATGTTACTCAAGGACGCAAAAGCTTTGTAGTTTTTGAGAATCGGTCCAGTGCCAGCAGTGGAGGCCTAAAACGTAAAAAGGAAAAATCAAAACTTCGTTTTTTGACGTTTCAGAGGATCCTGATCATTTTTGAATAAAATCTTACAGGTTAAAAAACTTGGGGTGGTGGTTGTAGGAGGTTTATCTTAAATTTTTGATACTGGTACATTTATACGTACCTATTAGACATATTTCTCACATCATATATTTTTCCGTACATTAGCCCTGAAAACTATTCTTAGGAGACGGATCGTGTGCCTATCGGCCGCGGCCCTGTTGGCGTCGTGCGCCGACCCGTGATGAGTGTTCTGGTATGGAATCATAAGTATTTATTACCGCGCTACCTAGTTTGTGGTGAAAATATTCTTTTATGCACTGATAAGAGCGTTGCGAAGTGCAGAGTCAACCACTTGACGCCATTTTCTGAATCAATTGTCTCTAATTTTTGTCTACTAAAATTACATCACCATGCATTTTGGGGATTCATGAATAATTTCATCTTAAAAATTTTCAAATTGGAACACTGTTTATATCATTATTCATTTTATTAAATTCAAATACTCCCTTTTAGAATTATAATTTTGCAGGGTGAAAATCTATATTGCCTCTAGTTTTATAGTTATGAAAATGATAATATTTATTTCTTTTACATTCAACTACTGCAGTTCTTCAAACAAAGACTTAAATTTAGCATATTTGTTTTATTTAAAATGATTCTCATAGCTTTATTTTGTAGAATTTATAATTTTGAAAGTATGTTTTCATTTGATGTAAACAAAATAGATGAACATTACAAAATATGGGAAAAAATTATGGTGTTATAAACATATTTTTTTTTGGGATACATACTAAGATTATGGTAAATAAACTCGATACTACAGGTAAATTATCCTTAAGTCATCCTTACTAAAGAATTTTTTTAAAAATATACTAAGTGACATATAAATCCGAACACCCAGTTTAAATGGTTTTATTTTGATAAAATTTTGTATAAGTACTTGATGAAGCATAATAAGTAAATGATAAAAATTTCAAAATGATTGCAATGCTTTAAAGCACTTTGACCTTTAATAATGTGTGGATGCACCCTGATGTGCTACGCATTCTCCAACGCGCCTAGGCATGCTTCTGATCAGGTGGTCAATGTCCTTCTGTGGTATCTCATTCCAGGCAACCACCAACTCCTCTCGAAGTGTTTCTAGAGTCTGAGGAGGACGTTGCAAATTGAGCAATCTCCTACCCATCATATCCCACACGTGCTCAATTGGGGATAAGTCGGGAGATCTTGGTGGCCATGGTAACAATGTGACATCATTATGTTGAAAGAAGTCTATTGTGTCTCTTGCAACATGTGGTCGGGCATTATGTTGTTGGAAAGTTGGATCTGCCAGGGTGTCAAGATAGGGTAAAAGATGTGGTTCTAGAACTTCGTGGATATAACGCTGCGCGTTCATGTTACCTCTGATGAAGATTAAAGGTGACCTGGAACCATAAGCTATAGCACCCCAAACCATAACTCCAACAGTGTGATGAACATGTCTTTCAACAAAAAACTGTGGATTCCTTCTTTCACCACGTCGCCTTCTAATCCTGGCACGACCATCGTGCATGCCTAAACAAAATCGAGACTCGTCACTAAAGACAATACTGTTCCATTCCTGATCCCAGAGTGACCGTTGTCTGCACCACTCAAGGCGATTACGTCGGTGTTCTCGAGTTAAAGGAAGGACCCAGTGTGGCCGGTATGGAAACAAGCCAAAACTTCTCATTCGTCGGTAAACACTTCGCATGCCAATAGGTCTTCCGTGTTCTGCAAACCATTCATTTGCAATGGACCTGGTAGTGGAGAAACGGTCCCTTAAGGCCAATAATCTCAGGCGGCGATCTTCACGGTCTGTTGTTCTACGGCGGCGTCCAGTGCCCCTTGCTCTATGCGTACGGCCTTCGCGAAGCCATGCCTGACAACACCTAACCACAGTGTCTACACTTCTTTGCACTCTAACTGCAATTGCCCGAAAAGAAAGTCCAGCTTCCCGAAGTCCCACTATACGGCCCCTATCAAACTCACTCAGTTGACGAAATCGTACAGGTCTCCGTACTCTAGGCATCGTAACCGATCGTAAAGGATGTCAAGAACAAAAATCCGCCAACGTTGATTCTTTACTGCGGCTGAAATATTCATTTTTAGAGCGTTAGTGAATTAAAAAAAAGCAGTATAAAAACCGGAATGTCCAACTGATAAGGCTGAAAATTTTTTCACTTGTTATTTACAGTAAGATAAATACATTCACCAACTTTTATTAAAATAAAACCATTCAAACTGGGTGTTCGGATTTATATGTCACTTAGTATATCAATCAGTATCATTAACATTCTTGGTTTCAAAAATAATTTTTATGTCTTCTCACACAGTTACGGACTACTTTGCTGTTGATTGTAGGTTCTTTTACTTGGTGAAACTCTTCCATCATATGATCGAATACTAGGGATGTCTTTTAAGTTTTGCATATGGAAATAAAACAACACGGTAGGTAGTTTTAAATGACTATTGTTTTTCGAAGTATTCTCCACGAAGATTAATACACATCTGCATGCGCTCGAACCAATATGTCACATGTCTATCTTCAATGATGAGTTTGCGCACAGCATCGACATTTTCTTGGGTGACTGCCGTTTTTGGTGCACCCACCCAGGGATCGTCGCTAAGACTCACCCGTCCACGTTTGAATTCTCCATACCAACGGGAAATTGTCGACTGATCTGGCGCTTCGTTGCCGAAAACAGACAGTAACTCAGCAAGGCATTCTTGTTGCGATAATTGTCTCTGAAAGTTGCCACGCCTTTTTTTTTGTTAATTAATAAAACACAACGATAAATGCTATCCAACGGTTGGTCCAAGCAAAACAGTTGTCTAGTGGCGTGCAAATTTAGGCCCTAGCTCAATAAAGCGGAGAGTAGGGGCGTGTTAAGAGCGCCAGTGACTTAGGACGGATTAAGCCACAACTCCCCGAGATGTTAGTCTGAACTTGTTTTGCTTGACCACCACACAAAAGGAGAATCTAAAAGAGATGACGAAATTTAAGTAACAGTTTACACAGAGAGAGCCAAATAAACAAGATATCAAATGGATCACAATATATTGATTAAAAAGAACAAAACGCACATATGCTCCACCACTGGAGTGCGAGAAAGGATATTAAAAAAAAAGTGTCTCAAAATAAAATTAGTTGGAGTTTACCATGGTATACGCATTACATATATGTTTTACGCCTAAACTACACTTATCTGGGCGGAGGTCTCCTCTCAGTTATGGCTAGGCGCAGCCGAGATGTATCCCAGGTCAAAAAGAACAAAAAAAAGGAAGCCAGTAGTAGGCACGTCACTGGGCAGGGGCTGCTTGCCTCGGTCCCAAAAATTATGATGGTAACAGGAAAAAAAACCCTAGAGAGAGAAAGACTTTAAAAATCTACTCTACTCTCTGTCTGAGATAAAACTACTCATTAAAAACAATCGCACTTGAAGCGAAACCATGTACATTTTTTTCGTATAAGAAAAGTAAAGCAAAGGTGAAAAAAAAGATAAATATGTACTAAACTAATATATCCTTGTTATAACAGCTCAAAAATCAAAATCATGATCAATGTAATAGAAGGTGCCATGTAGGCATTGCCCCCATATTTGAATACGTAGAATGTCTAATAAAATCCAGAAGTGTCTAAGAATTTCAATAAGCAATAATAAATGTATAAAGATCTATGAAATTGTTAATTAGAATGATATTTTGCCTGTTCACGTCAGGGTTTTTTCAAGGGGATGGCTTCCAATTTGCAAAACTGCAACGATGCAATTAACTGAGGGAGAAAAGACGAGGATTTTCTTTTGTTTCTATTGACAAAAAGAAAGCAGATATTGAATGAACGTTATCAGGACACGCATTAAGGCACGCTGTCCGAAGGTATATAAAAAAGAACTTACCGCTGAGGGTCAAAATCTCATAAAAAATGGAAGACTTAGCACCCAAAATAACTAAACTTAAGTCACACACCAAAAGGAAAAGGGTGCTAGTCTATGAATGGGTGCTTGGGGCCTTATATCCCAGAGTCTGGAAAACGACAAAGAGACCAATGAACCACGACCTCAACGGAAGCTGAAAAGCGAATCACCGAATACGTAACGTTCTAGATCAAGGAATCTTGAGTGGCCTTGAAGAAGATATGTTTTATAGGAAGCCAACTAACGGAGAAAAACTGCAGAGTTTTTTGCTGATCGTCAACACCATACTGAATCGTTGAGAAAGAAATATATAGATATAATACGAGTGAAATTACACAATCAATAAACTATTAAATTTGCAAAAAGAAAATCATTGAAAGGGGGTTTGGCATTGGAATGGGCACTTTATTATCAATGAAGAGAAATTCAAATTACTGATAAGTGATAAATAGAAAAAAAAAGGTTACGTGATTTTGGCACGTGACAAAGTTATAATAAATTATGGCGCGAAAATGTTCTCGATTGAGTTCCATTTTTCTAATGACTTGGTGACACTTAAACATTCACTGTAGTGAGAACACTGCACGTATTGTTCTGAAACTTAAAAACTTAAGAATTTAAGTTTACTAAAGAGTGAGGTTAAAATTCAGTACTGGCGTTCGATCCGCGCGGCCTACTTTGTTTCTATATGCAAAACTTAAAAGACATCCCTCGTAGTACAATTTTCTGTACAGTTACCATAGTAAAACACAGGAGCAATCGGGTATTTTCGTTACAACAAATTATTTTTCAGGGTACTTTCCGACGAGCAGTCGAAAAAGGCCTCAGAAAGACTGACCATCCCGAAGCACTTCCATCCATTTATTGTCGGAGCTTTCAGCAGCAACGTGAACGCTTTGATGGAGGAAACCAAAACCAAAATCAACGTACCACCACCTTCTGTTATGAAGGATGAAATCGTCATTGCTGGAGAAAAGGTGAGTAGTGAAATAATGCAAAGAATTAAAATCGATTTTAGCGGGTTACAGTGAAACTACTGATATCACTGCCGTACCAGACAGTAGGTATATCAAGGGAAGACACTTGTGGCATATTTTTATAATCCGTCGGACATTGACCTTGGGTGTTTTTTTGCGTTAGAGTGCAGGAACCAACCGCAAATTTTTGGTCGCACCATGCTGTTTAGCATCAAAATTCTTAAGATTTGACTAGTTTTTATCATCTCATATCAGTACGCGATGATGTAATCTAAAATCTGCGTTCTCGTCTTGGACTATCACTGGCTCGACATTCTGCCAAGAATATGCGCTTTTCGGTTACAGGTGACCCTGAATGGACCGAGGCGGTGTTGCCAAACTGTCATAAAACGTTTATAAGACGCTACATTTATACTGAGCTGAATGGAATTCACTTCTTGTCACGGTTTTTGGTGGTTACATATGGCCAGGCTGTCTAAATAACTGACGAATACTTCAACGATTGGTCAAATAAGCAGTTTGAGATTAGAAAACATTTTAATTGCAAGTTGACGTTCCTTTTGTGTTACTAAACTGAATCGCGTAATATTCCACGTAAGGCCACATAATTGGTAACCCAGAAGCTACACTCAGGCAAGTTCTCCAGTGCAATTTCCAGCCTCCGTCTCATAAGCGATCGGCTTCGGCGGGTGACGCGCACCGCCGTTTACAGTGTCAATGGGCGGTAAATCGACGCGTACTCCGTACGGGTTCGGACTTATCGGTCATTTATAACAATTAATTTTCTTTAGCCTTGAACGGTCGTATTTATTCATTTATTTCGACGTTAAACCATTTTACAATAGAAAAATTAAGATAACATGTCAATGTTTAAAAATCACAAATTAAAAATATACTTGCCCACCCTGCTAGTAAAAATAATATATCCCTAAAACATACATATTACCATTTACACGATGAGATTAGCCGATTCAGTGTCTTGTCTTGATTTGACATTGAAATGGCCTTGAAGGTCTAGGTCATGGTCAAGGTGATGTACAGACGTAAAATTTGCTCGTTTTTTTCAATGTGAAAAAGGGAGCTTCCATTTGAACATATTCACTTGACCTTGAATGTCGTAGTCAAGGTCATTGTCACCATCGTTTTGCCTTCTCGGCATCCTACAACTTTTGTATTAAGCTTTTTTTTCTATATTGCACAGTTTTCGAAATATTCAGGAGGGGAGATTAAAATGGGGCACTGTATCTAGCATTGATTTCACTTTTTGCACAGGATGGGGTTGCTGCAGCAAAGGCGAAAATTGAAGAAATCTACAAACGCATGGAGAAAAAAACAGAGACAGTATCTGTGGAGGTGCCTAAATGTCAGCACAAGTATGTAATTGGACCTAAAGGGGCTACTATCGCAGAGATATTGCAAACGACAGGCGTTAGCGTTGAGATGCCTCAAAGTGATTCTGCTACAGGTAATGTATTTTTTCTAAATTTTAGGTAGAGAAAAAGTATATGATATTACATTCTAGATTAACCAAAATGAAAACATATTTTTTTCACATTAGATAGGGAAAAGTATATGACACATTAGATTAAATGAAATGGAAATAGATCATATGTAAGTGAGACCTAATCTGGTTACTAAGCTGTCAAAATTTCATTGAATTATACAGTTCCTGTTAAAAAATATTTAAGAGAAACGCATGTCTTTTCTTTGGGAATATGTATCTCCCTAAGGGTGCACCATAGTTTTGTAGATACACGGCATACTTTTTTCTTCTATATGCATCCGAGAGACTGACATGTTTTTGTGATACAACCTGTATATTGTTCATATAATTGAATCGCTCATTTCAAAATCTATTCAAATCCAGGTGTTCCAAAATGATTTTTTGCTCAAACCACTTCATTAGAGGTACATATGTACTCTGCGTATACTCTTTGTATTTCACTGCATTCCTTCACCTTAAAATAATACCACATAGTACACGTTCAGTGCAATAACGATGATAGTCCGGGACTTATTTTTTATGCACTAATCGACAGCGGGTACTTGAAGTGGTCAATTCAAAAACAGTAGCAGTAAAAATAAGGTACAGGCCTTATTAGTTTTGCCGGAAGTCACTTGCTCAATAGTTTTCTTGTTTATGATCAAAACAATCGACTATTTCAAATAGCTGTTTGTATAGATACAACGATGGAATTATACGCACAACACCTATATTCCAATCTCAGTTATTTTATTGAAAAAATTCGCCTTTCTCATGTCTTCGCTTTGCATGGGTTTCTTCTATATACCTTACAAATACTAAACATGTAAAATTAATATATGTGGCATGTTATTTAAATATAATTTCCAATAAAAAATAAGATCATTATGATGATTTTGCTTGTTATATATCACTGACCCTATTTAACAGTTTTTCAGGCTCTTCTATTATTATTACAAGCTTTTATTTAACTTGACCTGTTTGTTATTGTAACACCTAGAACTTATCCAGTGGTTTCATGTCGATAATCCCATATCTGTGTGTTATTATTGATACAACTGTGGTTATTCAAAATTTCAATCTTTTGTAACAAAATACTTTATTGAGATAGATAGATAGATGTATATTAGGGTATATTGTCTGAAGAATACAATCATTATTAATGACAAAGCTAAATTAGAACTAAAGTGTAACATAATTACATATGTGGATATTAGGTAAGTGAACTGTAGGACTCCCACAGTAATATGGTTAAGTTTATGGCGGAATATCATTAAATTGTAATTTTTTTTTTGATAGGATCAGCATTGACTTAGGTACTACTAATTTAAGTTCTTGTTTCCGTCTAATATTGTAACCTAAATTTAATGTTTCAAGATAGATTTATTTTTAAAAATAAGAGTTGCTGTTTCCAAAATGCATAATGATACTACAGTCATTATTTCAAGATTCACAAATAAAGGCCTGCATTAATTATATAACTAATAGTTCGTTTTTGTAGAATAAGCTCTTTTTTTTTGAAACAATTTTGGGAAAAGACCTACCAAAAAGGAATGCTATATCTCAATATACTTTCAAATAACGCAAAGGAAATCTTCACTAGTTGAGTAAGCAATTTGCCTACATGATTAGTAAAATCTTAGTGTATGATCAGTGGTTAGTCCCAAAAATTTGATGATGTCTGTTTGGGGAAAAATTGATTATTTAGATTTATAAAATCAAGGGAGCATTTAAAAGTCATAAATTTTGCCTTATTTGCATTAAAAGTCAAGCAATTGTTGTCACACCATTTTTTGATTGATTGTACATCACTATCAATTTTTGTCTTGATTTCATTTATATCTATGTCTTGCCAGTGTTGTGTTATCATCAGCGAAAACTACGAATTTACCATTTATGCTTAAGTTTATTAAATTAAATAAGTAATTTAATACTGGTTTATTTGTTAGTCTCTCAGTGTCAGTGTTTTTATTGTCCCCTGACAAATGCAAATTATGTGACTTACGAGGTTTTCACATTGACCGGTTTAATTTGAAATTGTGAAATTTTTGGCATTTTTTTTCCTCATATTTCTGTACGTCGGAGCCAGACAAGGCTAAATCAAAAAAAAGTAGATGATGTTTTGAGATAATTGTGTTTGAAATGTTTTTTTTTGTACTTTATGCGACAACATAATTTATAAAGGAGTATCTCCCTATTATTTCAGGTAGGTGGTCGCTGCAAGTAGCAAATGAAAATTCACAATACTATCATGAACTTAACGTACAAAACTCAATTTAGGCAAAAATGGACTTAATTTAGTTTAGCTCTGCGGTACAGATTTAAATCCTTCAAAAGCAATGTTCCTAATTTTAGCCAGTGTGTTAGCAATGCCTTTTATTCGCTCACTTTCTACGCCTACTGGCAAAGAAGAGTTCTAATCCCTAAACGTTTCAAAAATGAGATATGTTTTTTGGATCTTATATGACATGTACCTGTCTGCTAATTCTTGGTACGACTATACAGGTATGTCTATAACTTGGATAGTACTGTTCAGAGTTGGATGGAATTTTTACACAAGGTTACTACTATGCTACGGACGGCAAATCTTTGTAGTTCTCGTTAATCAGCCCAGAATCAGGACAGACTGAAAACGAAAAAAAAAAAAAAAATAACAAAAATCGCTCAACCTCCATTTTTGACGTTCCTGAAGCTCCTGATCATTTTTAGAAAGAAAATGTGACTTGGTTCGTTTAATTTCCCTGTTATACATGTTCGTACCTTGTGTCACGTGCCAAATTCACGTAACCTTTTTTACTATTTATCACTTATCCGTAATTTGAATTTCTCGTCATTGATAATAGAGTGCCCATTCCTAGGCCACACCCTTGTCACTGATTTTTTTTTTGCAAATTTAATAGTTTAGTGATTGTGTAATTTCACTCGTATTATATCTTTCTTTCTCAGCGATTCAGTATGGTGTTGACGATCAGCAAATAAACTCTGTAGTTTTTCTCCGTTAGCTGGTTTGCTATAAAACATATATTCTTCAAGGCCACTCAAGATTCCTTCCTCTAGAACGTTACGTATTCTGCGTGATTAGCTTTTCAGTTTCCGTTGAGGTCGTGGTGCAGGGGTCGTTTTGTCGTTTTCCGGACTCTGGGATATTAGGCCCCAAGCGCCCATTCATGGACTAGCACACTTTTCTTTTTGTTGTGTAACTTAAGTTTAGTTATTTTGGCTTGGGTGCTACGTCTTCCATTTTTTTATGGGATTTTGACCCTCAGCGAAACAGAAGAAAATCATCATCTTTTCTCCTCCAGTCAGATGCATTGTTGCAGTTTTGCAAATTGGAAGCCATCCCCTTGAAAAAACCCTGATGTGAACAGGTTTTTTTTTGTGTTATCACCATAATTTTTGGGACCGAGACAAGCAGCCCCTGCCCAGTGACGTGCCCACTACTGGCCACTTTTTAACCAGATTTGAGGACATTCCGGCCGCGCCTGACAAAGAAGACCTACAGATATGTTCAATATTTAGGCGCAAAATATCTGTAAATACTTCGGGCGTATACCATGGTAGACGTTTCGCGAGGTTATCTCAAAAAATAATTTCGTCAGGTCGTATTTAAGATTTGTAACATACTTTCTCTTTTTCATTACTCGCATTCCAGTGGTGGAGCACATGTGCGTTTGGTATTTTTTTTTTAATCAATATATTGTGATCCATTTGATATCTTGTTTATTCGGCTCTCTCTTCGTGTACTGTTACTTAAATTTCGTCACCTCTGTTAGATTCTCCTTTTGTGTGGTGTTCAAGCAAAACAAGTTCCTACTAACATCTGTTTTGCTTGGACCAACCGTTAGATAGTATTTATCATTGTGTTTTATTAATTAACCAAAAAAAGGCGTGGCAAATTTTGTGGCGCCCAACGTTTAGGGCCTATCATTTTGAACAGTACACAGAGCCAAATAATTTGTTGAATCTTTTGAACAGACTTTTAAAAATTTGTGGAAACTTTTGGACAGGCTTTATTACCTTATTGTTGATTGTATTACTTGATATTGTGGTATTATTGATTATTGCATTTTTCTTGTTGGTCTAAGATTAGTTTGTTTGTTGGTAAGATGCATTTTAAAACGGAAGTTGGTCACCTTAAGAAAGAGATGTTACTTCATTAGATTTTAGTCCGTGGTGTTGCTGTTGACGAAAGTCATACAGTTGACAAATTGAGAGCTACCTTAAACTCCCTGTTAAAGTTTGAAAAAGCTGGGACTTTTAAATTTCCACCATATAACCTTAATTTTGAGGTTTAAAAGGTGCAGATTCGGTCATTCCTGGATGAGGTTAACGATACTATCGGTACAATTTCAGGGGAAGGCGCACAAAACAGATTTCTTACCGCTCAATCTAGGTCGGCCCACCTCCTCAACCGGGTTAATCGAATCCCTGAATCCTTAGCATAGAGGATGAAACTAAAAGAACTGAACTCTTAATCGATGTTTTGGCAGCATTAGATTCTTTAGAGACGGCGTCTAGGAAAGATCCTCAATTAAATACACTTTTAAAAATTCTGATGAAAATTTGGTTTGCCAGAGAACTCCTATCCATAACTCAACTGTACAGAATGTTTCATCTAGACCTCCCATTGTCCAAACTGTTCCACCGAAGTCTCAAAACATAGAAAAATGTAACATAAAATTTTCCGGCGAAGTAAAACAACTTTCTGTCCATAACTTTTTAGAAAGGGTTAATGACCTACGGTCAGCTCGCAACGTAACTGAAAAACAGTTATTTGACTCGGCTATAGATCTTTTCACTGGGAAAGCGTTAAACTGGTTCAGGGCAAATCGAAATCGAGTAAAAAAAAACGTCATTTTGAACCTCCTGATTTTAGTGCTAGACTTTTCAAAGAAAGCTTAGAAAGAACACAAGATACATCGGAGGGTATTATTGACTATCTGTCCTGTATGCAGGGACTATTTAGGCGTTATGGTGATCTAACGGAAGAGCTTCTGTTAGATATTGTATGTAGGAATTTGTCACCATTTTATACTACCCAACTCCCAGTTTTTTGTACCTTGGAAGAACTTGAGGTCGAATGTCTTAAGCTTGAGGTTAAGAAATATAGAGTTGAGAATTATGTAACTCCATCTCGAAAGCGTCACAGTCAGAGCGTCTAACTTGTGGTGAATATAATTCCTTATGAACTGATGGCGTTACGTTGGAAGTGCATAGTCAACCTACTTGACAGCTTTTTTTATTTTGTATAGGAATTCAATAGACAAAGTTTTCTCCAATTCTAGGAACAATAACTCTACGAGGGCCGCAGGATAAGCTTGGGTTGGCGTTGGGTGTCGTCTATGGTAAAGCGAACTCGGTTCGGTCCAGCGATGTGGATGCACCGTCGTGGCTGCACAAATACATCATAGGAAAGGGAGGTGCAAAAATTAGGGAAATCACTGCGAACTTACCAAAGGTAAGCAAATAGGAAACAATGAAATTGCATGTCTGCACTTACTTGAAAAATATATTTTCGCATTCCAATGCTAGTGATTCGTCAACAAACGGCATTTTACTGTTAAGCTGATCGCACAATAGTTATGTTGAAATCACTGATTCATGACGTGTGCAGTCTTTTGAACTCTATTTGCGAGTCATGTGCATTCCAAGCCTAGTTAGGCTGAATGATGATTTTTAAGTTTAAGTCCAAATGCTTGTCTCTTCACTTATAATCTTTTTGTTAATTTTAAGCATGCTCAGAAATAAGTAAAGACTAGTGATCCAGTTTTGAAAAACCATCATACCCTTTTGTTAGCTGCACCGTAGATCTAAGCAGGATTTTTAAGTTTAATTTACATCCTGTATAAGAAACGGTGCCACATTGAATACAGGTTAGAGTGAAAAGCTTCCTTGTTGATTTGCTGGTTTTCTCATGAACTTGTAACATTTTTCTAATCTTTTTACGTGTGACTACTTCGTAGTTTAATTTGTATAAAAATCAATCATTTTTAGATTCTCCAACATCGTTATATTTTCAACTCTCTTTTCAGGTACATGTTGAATTCTCGGAAAGAGCAGATAAGATCAAGATCGAAGGACCCCCAGAAGAAGTAGAAAAAGCTCAAGAACAACTTGAAGAAATAGCCAATAACCTTATTGCAAACATGACCTTCGCAGAGATGCATGTGGATCCAAAATTGTTTAAACATATCATTGGCAAAAGCGGGGCCAATAGTAAGTTCAATTTAATAAATTTGACTTTGACATAATATTTCCAGGTATTAGGCACTGTTCTCATCAAAAGCAACCCGTCGGCAACTGAACTTGCGTAAAAATCACTGACAACGTACTTATTACTAAGCATGCGGAATATGAATATGTACCCTTTTTTATTCTTAAAAACCTTGGCTGCAAGATTTCAATCTCCTCAGCTAGATTAATTGATATCTGGTAAATAAAGTCATAGTGGCAGTGAATCCGGATCAGTGGTTAAACATGCATTTTTGCCCGCAGCTAGATGAGTCGGACTCGGGGAACATTTAGTACCAACAAGAACTTGCAACGGGACACACTTCAAAAGCATCCATGGCGGTTTTGGGGGAATACTTTCCGTAGTGCCTCATCTCAATTATAGGCGATTTGGAGTGGCCGGCCCCGCTCTCCTGATTCCTTGTGATTTTTTCTATGAGGTTTTTTGACATACCATGTTTATGTGAATTTTCCAAATATCCTACAAGGTTTGACAACTAACATCTACGAAGAAATTGCCTACATAACGCCTGCTGTGTTGTCAAGAGTCATGACAAACGCTAGAAATCGTTTTACTCAGCGTATGGAGAATGGGGGACGTCACCTATCTGATTTGATCTTCAAAACTACATGAAACAAAACTTTAGGCATACGCCTACATTATAAAAAACAAATAAAAATATTCTGATCCAGACAGTGGGTTTTATTAAGTTTTGAAAAACGGAAATTATGATGCCGCACCCTGTATCTGCCACCACTAGCCAGGTTGAGATTACAGTTGCTTTTGGTGAGAACAGTTGCTTAGACTATGGCACGCTTTGCTATATTGAAGAATACATCATTTTACTCCAGCGTTTTTGGCAGCTAACTATAAGTGAATTTACTTTGTTAAAGTCGAAGTACAGATCTCAAAGTTGATATTTGACTCCTCAGTGACTTCATCTGTTCGTTTGTTGTACCTTTCGTTCCGCTGGCGCTTATGATGGGTTCTTTTTTTAGTCAACAAATTGAAGGACGACTTCGATGTGGTGATCAACATCGACGAGAATGGATTCGTGCGTATCGAAGGATCCAGGGACAATGTAGTAAGAACACAAAGTGAATTGGAACAGCATGTAGCCAAGCTGGAGAATGAAAAAGAAAGGGACGTAATTATAGAGCAGAGGCATTACAGAAGCATCATCGGTGCGAAAGGGGAGAATATCAAGGAAATCAGGGATAGATTTAACCAGGTATTTACACAAAAAATAGAGTTTCTGATGCTTTTATTTTGCTGCGCCTTGTTATTCTAAGTTTTCGCAATAGCCATTATCAAAGTAAGAAGCTCCTTTAATATGAAGAATAAGCAAGAGCTTCTATAAGGTTATTAATCCCTCATCAGCTCTGTTGCCAGAATTCGTAAAACTGGGAAAGTTTAAAATAATTTCAAGTTATTGAAATGTAATAGAAATATGATAAAAATGGCCGCCAGAATTAGCCAGTGTTCTAAATGAATTAGATTGTTATGATTTTTATCATTATGCAATGTGTAGCACTTTATTCTAGTTCTCATTGTTTTGTGGTCACTAACTTGTCGATGTGTGGTTCTATGAGTTTAAATCTATTTAAATATCATGCAAACTTATCATGAACAAATTTTACAAGGTTTTGAAAGCAATCTGTCGTGATTGTTAGTAATGAGTAATGACAAGTTATCACGGTTCGCTGCAGTGGTTATAAAAACTCTTTTTCTTCCAAACGTCGTTATTTGCTATCACTGTCAAAAGTAACGTAACGAACGGTTTAATGATTCATTATTTTTATTGCACTAAAGACTCTGGATCGTCGCTAGTTGTTAAGGCAACTCAGGGTTGTTTTCCAGTACTTTTGATTTGAGAACGCAAAACACTTGTTATGATGGAGATGATTGGCAGAGCGAGATATTTAAAAAATGAACGGTTAGTGCAGGCACTGCAGGCCTCTCCAACTCAGGTGCTACCAGTGCAGCGCCGAGCACCGCTCGCATCACAGTGCTGCGGGGTGACTCCGTGAAGGTGGGGGAGGGATTAGGCAGCGGCATACGCATCGCGAGGAAGGTGTTGTGCTAACCGTTGCACCCTGCGAATAGAAATGACTCGGGAGCTGGTGGCATTGAGTATTCCTTCCTCGCGGATTCGACTAAATTTAGTAATAATATGTAGTACCTGTCGTACCGACTTAAAGATACATCGTGACAAGAGAATTTCACCGGATCCAATGAAGCCTACAATGTTTGATGGAAATTTTAGGCTCAATTGGAAAAACATGGTATGACAAACTGATTTCCGCCAGAAGTGTCTGTCGTACCGACTGAAAGCTATAGCAGGCAATGCAAATAGATAAAAATAATACATCCTATTTGTATGCTTCATGCTTGCATTTAAAAGCTCATTTGAGTCTGTCAGTTTGACACCAGGCTTTTAGATGTTTGAAAGTATATGTAAAATGAATATGAAACGTCATGACCGTTGATATACGAATAGGTTATGGTAAAATCCTATCGTCACGTTGTATCTTCAAGTCGATATGACAGGTACTTCCATCGGCATACCAAGCCCTTTTTGTTCATTTACTTAAAAACTACATATTATTACTAAGTTTAGTCGAATCCGCGATAAGGTTTAATTTCGCCGGCTCCCAGCCTCAACGGAAAATGAGTGGAGTGACATTCGTATTGACACTTGAATTGGTCTGATCGAGTCAACGCGCGGGTGATGATCTTTGACAGCGTTTCGATTCAACAAGTTTTCTGATATTTGGTACAAAGGCTTGAGCAGTGGAAATTCTGAGTATCGCCTCTAAGGACACATCAGACAGAGACCTCTTTTTAGTTTTGTTCAAATTCATTAAAGAAAACATCTGCTCGCAGAAGTACGTTGTACCGAACATGGAGCAAGTTTCCAAGGCCAGTGCAAGAATTTTGGGAAAATCTTGCTGCTTAACACCTTGATAAAACGAAATTAAATTACTATTGTAGTGGTAGTATCTATCGTTAAGGATCGTATCGCATTGAAGCTTAATCAGCTCCATTTGGAACTGCGGCGGTTCTGTTTCGAAAAGCACTAAGATAGCGTCGTAAAAATCTCATTTGCATAAACATCTCAACGTCGTCAATGATTTAAAAAATAAATCTTTAGCACTTTTGCGCAGCTTAACCAGCGCGTAACACAATAAGAGGATATGTCACCGTAAGTTGCTTCCAATTCTTTTAAAAGTACTTCAAACTGCCGTGGTTGAGACCTTGCTTTCTGCAGAAATTGATACATGTTATTCCTACATCCATAATAGATTTGAAATTACGGAAGGTTTTTGCACATAGTTCCTGATGTAATATGCAGTGTACCAATGATATTGGAGGTAGCCCAGCGTCGCGTACTATTATTTTCATTCGCCCAGTAAAACCTTGTACTTCCGATAACATTGCTGGCGCTCCATCAATAACAGCACTACGCAAACTTTTGAGTAGTATACTCATGTCATTCATATCTTCTCCGGCCATTGTATCTTTGAGCGGGATAACGTCCAGTAGTTCGTCGGTGATCGTAAAGACTATTTCGACACCTCTAACGAAAACAGCTAATTATGCTGTGTCAGAAATGACTTTACTTTCATCGAGAGCTATAGAATACTGCACAAAATGGGCACATTTTTCCGCAGTTGTTCTTTTAAATCTGCACCAAGTTCAAGTATCCGACGAGAAATTGTTTGCTCGGACATACTAATTGTCTCAAAGTTGCTTACAGGAGATGGGCACAATATTTCTGCACACTCCACTAAGCATTCTTTGACAAGTGCACCGTCAGTAAACGGTCTTCCCACTTTTTGCGATTTTCAAAGCAACAATATAACTTGCATTACGACACCATTAATAATAATCAACTACAACCAAATTAATAATTACCTCTTCAGAACAGAAGGGCTGGCCTCAATACCGTGTGACAAATTAAACATTTTGCTTTTCCATCAGTGTTTACAAAAAATAGGATTCTTCCATGCAGGATTGAATCATATAAAAAAAGATGCACGTTAAGACGCTAAAAAACCTGTCCACTTTGTCTTGTCCTATTAATAAATGGCCCGCGCCCGAGAGGCTAATATGTTTCTCTCTGTCGCGACGGCTGTGCGGTCGAGGTGGAGGGGGAACGGCACCGGTGCCGCTGGGTTCAGCACCGGAGCGCACCAGCACCAAGTGCTCGAGTTGGAGAGGCCTTGGTTAGTGTGTCAAGCTGCTTTCTGTCACGTAGCATTTGACACTAATTTAATACTATTTTTATTTCAGGTGCAAATTTTCTTCCCGAGCAGCGGTGAAAGCGAAATCGTGAAAGTACGAGGCCCCAAAGAAGACGTCGACAAATGCGTGCGACACCTTGAGAAACTAGTCAAGGAACTGAACGAGAACTCCTTCCAAAAAGAGCTCACCATTTTCAAACAGTTCCACAAATTCATCATAGGCAAGGGTGGCGCCAACATCAGGAAGATACGGGAAGAAACGAACACCAAAATCGACTTGCCTGCCGAAGGTGATAAGAACGATAGGATTAAGATAACGGGGAAAAGAGAAAATGTCGAGGACGCTTGCGAGAAAATCAGGCAGATTCAGCAGGAGCTTGAAAGTATAGTGACGGAGGAGATCACTATCCCGCCCAAGTTTTACAATTCACTCATTGGTGCAAAGGGTATGTAACGATATTCATTATCTATGGAGCGAAATCGTAGTGTTCTTTCACGCAAGACTTCCTTACTGTTGGACGATGCTTTATTAATCTTGACTATAGTAATATATAAGAGTGGCAAGAAAGCTTTCGAATCTTTGTCTACTTCTGCTTAAAGAATGCGAGACCCTATTCATTTAGTTGCTGTTTATATGGGGTGTCCTGAAAATTGGGACTTTCGTTTTCAAAAACAGCTTTGTAAAAATAAAAAGCTAATGAGTAGTGAAACAACAACAAAATGAAAAAGTACCGTTCATCGAAATAAAATGTCAAGCTCAGTTCTGTCATAAGTATTGTTCAAATTTTTCTGCGATAGATTCAAGGTTTGATTTATTTTGCGGAGCCTAATAACTCGGTTATCTTGAAACTTTGGTGCATATGTTACTAGAAAAAACGTCTCATATGCTGTGAAAAAGAAAGTCACAACATTGAGGGCGCATTGTAGAGTGTAAGATTCCCGGGCTTCCAGACATCACTTATTTTCTTAAAGACAAAATTCAGTAGTAGTGTTTATATGTATTTTCAACGCCTGCGTGTTTTCTAACTTGGGTAGTGGTCGGATTAAAGATTCCAGGTGAGAAATGTGATGGAAAATAAGAGACATTTTACTTATTTTTCGTGACTGATCTTTATATATAGCTTGTAAAACATTACAAAGTAATATTTAGCACTGCCAGACAACTCCTGTGTCGGTAACTTCAGCCAGACTATTGAATGCAGCCAGGAAAAGTAATTGAACTTTACTCTGTCACACTTGATTTTTATATGTTACTCGTATTTAGGGGACTATGAAGAAGTCCGACTTCTTTGATATTTGGAAACTCTCGTGTCTTCAAACGGTAAGACATAAACAGTCCTTACCATTTGGGGATCCAAGGAAAAACTATGTATTCGGCCTTAATGCGGGATTTTAGCAAATAGCGTTTGATCGCCGTTCATCTACAGTTGACTGACGTTTTTGATCTCTATTATTTTGATTTTTTTTTTTACAGGAAAACTGATCCGATCAGTCAGCGAAGATTGCGGCGGTGTGACAATCAAATTTCCCAGCGCCGACAGTAAAAGTGACAAGATTACGATAAGCGGACCTCAGGAAGATGTGGATAAGGCCAAACAGCAACTTTTGGATCTGGCTAATGAAAGGCAACAAGCCAGCTTCACAGCAGAGGTGAGTTCGACAAAGGGTTCAATTTATCCCAGAAATGACTCATTTCATCAACATCAGCTAAGAGCAGATTTTATTCAGTTGAATTCCCACATTGTACCTATCTGAAAATATCATCGTCGGGAGATTATACAGGGTGTTCTGAAAGTTGTGGCTTTCCCTTTGAGAGAGTCAATTCTTGCAAGGAGGGAGTAGAATAACCGAGGGAACGTGGGCGTGGCTCTTTTACCTTTTGGGAAATTGTAATCTTCTAAATGCAGGCGTACTTCAAGGATCAGTAATGGGTCGGATTCTATTCTTAATGGATATCAACGATTTAATAAATTTAAACATAAATGGCAAATTCATAATTTTTGCTGACGCCAGTATAATACTTTGGCAAGAAAGAGATAAAAATGAAATTAAAACAAAAATTGACAATGATACACAAGCGATCAGAAAATGGTGTCACTTATCTTTTAATGTAAAGAAGACATAATTTATGAGTTTTAAATGCTTAATGTTACAACACAGGAAAAAACACAGCCTTACGCAGTTTGTTTGCATTATTTGAAAGTAGTATGCCCTGTGACATGTTTTTGTGAGTTCTTCATAACTCCGAGTGATTAGCCACGTATTCCCTGTATAGGTAGATGGATTTATTGAATTTTTTTTTCAGGTGCGCGCTAAAGCTCAACATCACAAGTTCCTAATAGGTAGAAGCGGTGCCAATATAAAGAAGATTCGTGATTCGACGGGTGCTAGGATAGTCTTTCCGTCTAATACCGATGAGGATCGCGAAGTTATAACGATCATAGGCAAAAAAGAAGCCGTCGAGGAGGCCAAAGATGCGCTGATGGCGATGATCAAGGACATCGACAATATCGTAGAAGATGAGATGCAAGTGGAGCCGCGCCATCATAAACATTTCGTCGCGAGGCGAGGAGAGGTAACGTAAAATTTAAAAAAAAAACATTGTAAGAAGCTCACGAAAAATTGACAGTTGATTACTGGTAATAAAGACCCGAATTTTAGTGACTCTAAGGGGCAAGTATTCCAATGAAATGAGATGATACAATACAATTCCCTGGAACAACTGTTTACTAAACATACTCGCTCATTCGAAAAATCGTATACAGGCTACTGTCCTCGCACGGTGGTACCGTGGTGTGTGCTTAAGACGCGGCGTGGTGCAACTAGAAAGCGATTGGAGATATCAGTCCAGTTGTTTCACCTGAACGGCGCCAGATGGGACACCAGGGAAGCTTGAAAGAACAAGCGGACAGTGGTGTAGGCAGGGTTGAATGTGTCTCTAACAGATTACCCACCGCATTCGCCAATCCTGGCCTCTAGTTATTTCATTATCTGAAATTAAAACAACAGTTACTAGGAGGAATTTTTAAGCATCAAGTGATATCTATGGTATAGGCGCATTTTCAGCAGATGGACATTTTTTCCTGGGGTTATTGAAATGCAGGAACACTAACTAAACAAGAACATTGATTATAGTAAGAATTGAATAAAACAATAAAACAAAAAATAAGCTTAATTGCAGGTGAGTAAGGGGCGGAACATAGAGATCAACCCTGGTATATGTTATGGTAACATCCAAAATTTCAATATTGTGTGCGATTGCACTACTTTCTCATCAGTTGGCATGGAAAGAAAAAGGAAATGCAATGTTCAAAAGTATTTTGCCATAGATATTGCTTAGAAATGTCGAACAGAACCTTCTAAAGTAGTTTTTTCTTTTTTCAGGTGTTACACCGAATTACCGACGAATGTGGCGGTGTGATGATATCCTTCCCACGCTCCGGGGTTGCAAGCGACAAAGTAGTGTTGAAAGGACCTAGAGAATGCATTGAAGCCGCCAAGCAGAGGATCAGGGAGATTATCACTGATCTGGAGTCCATGGTGACCATTGAGTGCATCATACCGCAGAAGCACCATAGGAATGTCATGGGAGCCAAAGGACACAAGGTGAGTTGATATTTTCGTTCAACAAGTTAGATTTTAATAATAATCAACGACATTTATTTGAGACGCAGTTTAGCTACAAGCTATTCCTCCACTTAACCCTTGAAAACAAACAATTTAAAAAAAAATTACAAATTAAATACAGCATACACATGTGTGTACAAAAAAAAACTATAAAAGATTGAGATAATATGCAGAAATATGAGGAAATATAGATAATCTATATACTGGGAGCTGATTCAGATTTGAGCGTCAAAGATAATTTGTTATTTGCTTTTTCAAATTATTATAAACAAGATTTTTTAGCAGTTGATGGCAATTCAATAAATAGATTGATCGGATAATAGATAGAGCATCTATGAAATAAAGAAGTTTTGCGAAGAGGCATAGTTAAAGTGTCAGTGAATCGAATATTTCGTGAATGGATTTACTCACGAGATATCAATTTATTAATAAATAAAGCTTATACAACTTTGCAACATTCAACCAGTTCAGCTGTTCGAAGTATGAACTAATATGATTATATTTTCTTAAATTGTAAATCAATCTATGACATGCATTTTTTGTACATGTTTATCTAAAACTGAATCTAGAAACGGATAGCATACTAAGGGCCGATTTCACCAACATTATTATTATGGACCAATAGGAAAATACCTTATCGAAATGCAATTTGACGGAAGCTGTCAAAGGTCTCAGAATATCAGTGATTTCTATTAAAATGTTGAATAAAATCGTGAAAATTCGACTGTATTATAAACAAGACCACTTTTTGATTCCAACATGATGCTTTTGTGCAGAGAAAACACGACAACTTTCATGTATTTTGATTTATGTTATAGGTGTACATTTGACCATCCGTTATCCCCTCAGCGAATAGGAATGGGAGGAATAGGTCGATTTTCTAGCTGTTAAATTTGGCAGCAGATTTGGTCGTTTGTTAATTCATGGCAATCTCGAAATTTGTTAAGTTCAATATACTGTGTGTATATCTGATCATTATAGCTACACATACCTGTTGAATTGTGCGGATTTGCAAGAAAATAGAATATAAAATGTATTCCAACCAATTCCTCATCTCTCTTTACATCATAATAGTAATCATTTGTTATAAATTCATGGGTTAATCAATTTCTTCAAAGCAATCACAACAGTATGTCGTCCCCATCCTAAAACACCGATATGTGTAAAACATGTTAATCCCTACATCTCCGAGGTGCATAATGCAAATACTGTAGACATAGACCTAAAATTATTAGTAATTACTGAAAAATAATGTCGGGCTCATGCACGACTTAACGTAACCGAATTTAAGGATCAGCTGTTTGTACACCAGTGTCCTCCACATGTTACGCCGGCAGATGGTAACTAGCTAGTGATTTCCAGCGGTGGTCAAACGTTTTGGTGACGTCACAGCCGTTTTTTGACATGATTCGGGTAGTTTCGGAACTCGTCTTACCCTTGGATAGCCCTTTCTATACTGTTCTATGCTCGTATTGACTTAATTATAATAATTCTGTGGTGTCTCGTGTTACAAGACGATTTACGGTCAAAGCCAGGCGGTGAATCATCTGTTGTTTTTGTTTGAGTTGACGAATTTGCGGTATAGATTTGTTTTGGTGTTCGTCTTCGGGTGTGTTTTTCTGCCTTGGACTTGTTTTTTGTGCGATTAATGGAGGATGGCCATGCCTAGAGCAAAAAAAACGAAAGCCGCGCTGGTATCAACTTCTGACCGTGGTGAAGAGGTACCTGCAGTAGGCACCTGAACCCAATCGGACATCGCCAGAGGAGCGCCTAATGATGACCTCGTGTACACGTTAAATCTGCACGAACCCCTAAATACGTGGTTATGTTGAATGTACCATCACCGATGGTGCGACTGATTATACACTGAAATTAAAAAAAAACTGCAACTGCAATTGTATGTATGAATGTTGAAACTGTTGAACAATTTCGGACCAGTGGGGTTAAAATATCGTTGAGGAACTAGAAAGAAGTGTATGAATGTGTTGAAATGCAACACCTAACAAAAATTTGAGTGAAAAGGCTTTTTCATGTTTGGAAGTGCAAGTTTGCAAATATAGGATAAACTATAAGCACACAGTAGGTGATATAATCACATATGGATTACAAAAGTTGCAGTAAACATGGAAAAACCATCAGCTAATCTGAAAAAATAGATTTTACTCAGACATCAAGCATTTTTAAAAATTTTGGCTCAGTTTTACATAATTTCATAATATTTAATAAACTGAAAAGATTTCAATGGCAAGCTGTCACTTCATATTTTACAGTGTTTTGTTTTGAATACTTTGATGCAATTTGCTGCCAAAAATTTGACAGAGGGATCTTGAGGCTGATTGGGTATATTTAACGGACTGTTTGGTACTCGTACCCTATTGGTGCAGAATAATGGTTTGTTAAATTGTGAAATCCACCCTAAATCACAGATTTTTGATATTATTAAAGATTCACGTAGATTTTTTTTTATTCAAAATCATCATGCCGTAAAACAGTAAAACAATTTTGAATTACATTATTTACATGAGAAATAAATTTGAGATCTTCATCTATAAACAAACCCAAGTTTTTAACTGATTCTTATATTGGAATACAATGGCCGTTTAAAGTAATGCTCAAATTATTTTAAATAATGGACCTTAGATTTTTAGGAGGAAAAATAAGTTTGGATTTAGAGGGATTGAACCGAAGACTATATTCTGTTGCATAATTTGCAATAGAATTTAGGTCCACTATTATTTGTGCTTCCAAAATTTCTAAAATTTCGTGATTGGAACGGTGATATAATTGTGAGTGGTCAACAAAAAACTGAATACTACAAAATTTCACAACCCTATTTATATTTGCTATATACAGAATTGTATTGTGACTTTCCGTTCAGTGGTTGTCATTTAGATTAACTCGGAAGTTCTCATCGTATCTTCGGTGAGACTGCAAAACCGCGCAACAGCTGTCTGCAATACCGCGTATCTAGAAAAGTCGCAAAATACATATTTGGTGCCAGTGGGTGTTGACACATTTAAACGATAATTGCATATGCATACAAGTATACCCATATATAACCAACGCTTGAACAGGGACGTCAGTGTGCAGACAGTTAGACTAAAAAATGAATAGTTAGCTGGAGTTGAAAGAAAACGGATTTGAATACATAATAATATATACTAAATATTATACAAAAATTTATTGCACAGACATTTTACCTCTAAAACCGGAAGTACATATATTTGAAAATGAAAATCGTTTTAGATCTGAGACTGTGGAACTCCCACTGTCGTCAAGATTTATGATTGAACGGGCAACGTATCAATGATACCGTGTTATTCTTTGTATAGCATCATGAAAAATATTTTAAGGTCAATGGTAATGAGTCAGTCCCGAAACAGTTTTATTTTGTTTTTTGGCCATTTCATCAATTATGTTCAGGTTATATTTATTTTTATGCGTCTTGTCAATTTGTAACAATTATGCTTTAATCGTTGTATCATCATAATCAATTTTTTTATTTTTAAGCCATCCCTGAATTTCTGATTTTTTTTTTGACTTTGTTGGAATTTTCTCGTGTGTAATGAAGCATTATCTAATACTATAACCGGATTATCTTCAAGCTTCGGTAGAGAAAAATAATTCATTTTGGTCACAACAACACAACAAAATGATTGCATGATTTAAAATAAAATATAATTTTAGTTGAAATTCGTCGTCTTAAAAGTATTGAAAAATATGTAGGTCTCAGCTTTGCAAACAATGTCCTGAACACTTGAGTCACTCCTTCCTTGCATTTCGTATTTATAAATGTTGATAATTATTTGTTTTTCGCTAACGCTAAAATGAAGCCTGTTAGCTCTTTTTTTAGACAGTGTGCAGCTAATATCAACAACTTCATCAGCTGTATCCGTATCAGACATTTTGAGTTCTACGAAATTAAACTGATAAATCTAATAAGCACATGGTAATATCAGTATAAATCTGATGCCAACTCTGTACTTTACAGCCAGCCATCGGGACAGCCGGCATGCACGGTCGTATCGTCTCCCACTCCACTCTCTGGTTTGTCATTGGTTTTGTATAAGGGCTCGACCTATTCTGCCCAATAACAGTTATGCTCCCTCTCTCTTGAAATATATTAGTGTACTGATCACGTAATAATCACTGTTTTGGTTTAGTCTCTTTCTTCGATACATACATGATAGTAGGTGTCTCAGAAATGTTGTTCCTCCTAAACAAGACCATAAAGTGATCAGAGGCTTGCGAAACGGTGAAAAATAAATTTTAGAATTCCTCTTCTGTGCCTTTCCACAGAGACGTCACAAAATATATTGCCCTTTTTTTAATCTTCCTGCATACGAATTGCAGTTATTTCCATTATACAATAGACAAGATGGAAGCCTAGTAAATAGATTCGTTACTTTCTTCCCAATTATATCCAATATCCTTGATGACAATAATATTGAGAAATCCCTAAAAGAATGCTTATCAACGGTCTTAAGGTGGCCAGAAAGCTCGTACGTACAAAAGAAAAATGATACAACCAATATGCCGGTTTATGATCATTAAAGCTTTTGACCATCTCGACTTTCTGAATACGGTCCTGCGTTTCACGTGAGCTTCACCCGATTGATTATTGTCAACATTATAGACTTCAATACAAAAATGCTACTTCTTGATTAGCTGTTCAATAGACGTCAAAATGTAAAGTACCGTGAAAAATCCGATAACTTGTGCCGAGCGTCATGTTCTTTATGAACTGTTTACAGTGCGGCGTGGAAAATGCACAGCCAACCTACTTGACGCAATTTTTAGTATTCAGACTATAATACTTGGATCATGATATGTTGTGGCTTACGCCGGCTCCACACGTTGACCCCGACGTTGGCCCCAACGCCACTCGCTCAACCTGTGTATCTAGAAAATAGCGTTGGCCCCAACGTTGGAGCGACCGTTGGTAGTTGGCTGTCGATTGTCGGTTTTATCAAAGGAATCTGCGCCAACGTTGGCAATCCGTCCACATATTGGCTCACTGGCTCAGTCTTGTTGTAATAAGCGTCGAGTGCGTATGTGGAGATATGTCATCAACAACATCGCTACCCGCTTGGACAAACGAAAAAGTTGTAGAATTTTTAGAGTTATACCAGGCGCATCCAATAATATGGAACGCCTCTCGCAAGGACCATAAAAATAGAAATTTAGTAGCCGATGCATGGCGCAATATTCAACAGAATATGAAAATGATTTATTCTATTAAGGAATTAAAAAAGAAACCGAAATTGCTCTAAGCGCTTTTACAGTACTGATGAGTGCGTATAATTTATATTTGTTATTGAAAAAAAAGAAAAAGCCACGTCAAAGGAGATGGTGGATGACAACGCATCATAAAACTCGGTACCAGTAAGTACAGACCATACATTCCATTCTAGCAGCTTTTTACAAGGCAATTTAATTCAATAACAAATATAAATTATACGCACTCATCAGTACTGTAAACGCGCTTAGAGCAATTTCGGTTTCGGTGTCGGACATCTTCACATTGGCTCTGACAGAAAGGAACTAGTATAATAACCAACGTGTGGACGCTTCACCAACTTAACCGACCTTCGTTGGGGCCAACGTGTGGAGCCGGCGTTAAAAGAATTATGTCAAGTAGATTGACTCGCTACTTCAAGCAATGTAATGTTTATATGATGAAAATCCATTTCCGTCTGACTGTCGTGACTATTGGTGTTTCTTTCTCTCGTAATGTCGGAAACGGCTGCATCGATTTATTGTGGGGTCCTGGTAGATAACGCTACTTCACTTTTGGAAATACAGCAGACGCTCGATAATCTAAACTAATTTAATCCAAGTGTGGTTCACATTATCGAAATGTTTACATTAGCGAACGTGATTTATATAATATTTGATTTATTAAAAGAAACGTTTAATACATACTATTTATAACAAAATAAACAAATATTCTAACAGCGATAAGTATTTTTTTAATTAGAAGAAAAATAATTAACAATCTTTGTCTGCGTAAATTTGCGCTTAGCATTGACTTGAAAAGCCTGCGCCCGTAATTTACGAAGAACTAAAATATCCGTGTATGAAACTTCTTTTCTTTCAGCCCAATCTAAAGCTTGGTTAAAAACTTGTATAGCTTGCGCGTCAGTCGCTACACTTCTGACTTCAATGGGATCGTTCTCATCATCCTCACTGTCCATAGCCTCCTCCTTATCAGCATCATTCGTCTGGTTATCGTCGTTCCATAAATTAATATCAGCAGGAGTACAAACAATGTTGGGATTCATTGTTTTCAATAAATCAACAACATCCAATGACACACTAATAACATTATCATTATTGGATCGCAAACGTTCTCTAATTATGCTTAAGGGGACATCATCTTCTTCATCATCTTCATTATTGGTACAAAAGGGATTTTTCCAACATTTTTTAATAGTTTGCTGGTTAAGTTCATTCCAGGCCATATGTAAATCTAAAAACAGCTTCTCGTAATGTTACTTTTTTTAAAGCCTTAGATAAGTTTTCAGAATTCTTTTATAAGACAGACGAAAGTAGAAACTTCCTATAGTATAGTTTGGTGAGTCTTATTATATTCTGGTCCATCGGTTGAATTAACGGTGTTACGTTGGGCGGCATGTACATGACGAAAATTAACCCATCCCTGCTCCTCAGTTGTTGCTCGGGAGGATAACTTGGTGCAATATCCAATAGTAACAACGCTTTTATTGGAAGCTTCTGTTGTTTTAGGAAACCTTTTACCTACAAATTGAAAACAAATCTTCAAATTATGAATAGAGCATTTGTGATAATTGATTGTCAGACCTGAGGGACAAAGCACCTGTGGAACCATTTCATGAATATACTGCTAGTCATCCAAGCGGTTTTTGAACAGTCATAATCAACAGGGATATTAACATTTTTAAATGAGCGCGGATTTTTTGCTTTCCCAATTACCAGTGGCTTTATTTTGTGTGAACCACTAGCATTAGTGCAGGCTAGAAACGTTATTCTTTGTTTCGCCGGCTTTCTTCCCGGGTCAGATTTTTCAAATGATGCAGCATAGGTTTTCTCTGGTAACATTTTCCAATAAAGGCCACTTTCATCTGCGTTGTAAATTTGTTCCATTCTTAAATCTAGCTCGGTAATTGTTTTCATCAATTTTTCTTTGAATGGTTGCACTAATTGTGGTTGTGCTGATAATTTTTCACCAGTTATAGACAGCAGTCGAATTCCATATCTTGTTTTGAATCGTTGTAGCCAGCCATCGCTAGCTACGAAATTTTCAGTTTCTTTCAGTTTTTCATTTAACAGTCTCGCTCTCTGTTTAAGTACTTCGCCACTAACTGGGACATGATTTTCCCGTTGTTTTAAAAACCACTTATACAGGGAATTTTCCATTTTAGGTGCCTTTGCATTTTTTAAAGTTTTTCTTTTTCCCGGACCTCCAAATGTATTGCACGTTCTTTGTAAAATTTGAGTTTTCATACGCTTAATTTTACAGATTGTTGCTTTCTATACTCCATATTTTTTTGCTGTGTCACTCCCGCACCTAGTGCAACTTCGTCTATGATTTTCACTTTCTCATTCAACTTTAAACACTTTCTTTTATAGGATGTGGATGCCATAGTCGTAAAATACATTAACGCGTGCAATGTATTTACTTAAGTTCAAAAATGAAATACATACGTACGTGTAAACGTATCCTAAACGATCATACGACTGACTGAGTTTGTCGTATTTTATCGCAGAGGTGAATCCCCTACACTCTACATCATAAATCGGGGACTCCCCGACGCCCGACATAAATCATCGAGGCTTCAGCATTTTACCGTCGCGCTGTTTCCGTGCGCCGAGAGTTGTTTACGTTATCGCGCGTTCCGTTTGATCCTATAGAACGAAGTTTTCATTATCCCGTCTTTACGTTATCGAGCGTCTGCTGTAGTTTGTCGAGATAAAAAAAACTCTGTGAAGTGTGGGAATTGTTTCTTTACATGCAAGGTATATCGCCAGCCTCTTTTTTACTTGTAAATTCCATAGAAATTCGAAGTCCAGCTGTTTGGTGAGATTTTCTATTGGCTCCATTTTCAATGTTTATACATATTTCCCACTGATACAAAAATCGTATTTCAGGTGCAACGCATAGTCGCCGATTGTGACGTCCAGATCAAGTTCCCCGACAAGAATTATCAAGAGGAGTACACAAACTACGAGCAGGTGAACGGTGACGTCGCAACCCAGCAAGAGCCCGTCCAGTATTGTGACGTCATCCGCATCACCGGCAAGGATGCCAACTGCCAGGCTGCAAAAGCGGCGTTGCTCGATTTGGTGCCCGTCACTATCAGCGTGGACGTGCCTTTCAACCTCCATAGGTCCATTATAGGGCAGAAGGGACGCGACGTAAAGGATCTTATGGATCGGTTCGATGTGCACATCGTGCTGTCCGCGCAGAACGCGCCTGAGGATGTTATCAAGATCACCGGTGCCAAGTCGAATGTGGAGGGAGCGCGTGAGGCCCTCCTGGAAAGGTAAGGGACACTTTGTCATATTTCCACACAGAGAAAAGCTTTTTAATTGCCAGAAATCTAACTCGTGGTCATTTCAATATGTATTATAGGGTGATTCAGATAATTAGCATTATTTATAGGGCATACAGTAGATCAAAAAAATAACACGAGAAGTTCATCTAAACTTGGGCAATAATGGGTTGTCTAATAGCGACGCAGGAAAGTAAACGTCAATTTGACATAGACGCCATCTTTATTTTCTGTCACCGACATGTCATTTTGTGAGTTGAATGTTTACCATTGATCGCTATGGAGTCGTATTCGATTGAAGACCGCATTAAAGTTATTCAAGAGCACTACAAAAATAGTGCAAAAATAAAAAACACGTTTCGCGCGCTTCGCGAACATTTCGGTCGCAACAACCGCCCAAACGAAACAACCATCGGTCGTCTGGTGCGTAAATTCGAGGCAACAGGTACTGTGGCAAATCTGCCAGGCTCTGGCCAGCCAAGGAGCGTTCGCACACCGGAAAATATTGCTGTTGTGAAGGAGAGTGTGAGAGACGATCCGAAACAATCAAGAACGCGTCGATCCCAAGAATTGGGCATTTCGAGAACCAGTTTGCTCCGCATTCTCCACAAGGATTTGAATGTACACGCCTACAAGATCCAATTGACGCAAGAGCTGCGTCGGGCCGACCATTTTTCGCGCCGAACGTTCTCAGATTGGCTCCTTGGACACCGCCAAATTGATGCCAATTTTTCATCAAAAATCATGTTCAGCGACGAAGCGCATTTCACTTTGAATGGGACGGTAAACAAGCAAAATTGCCGCATCTGGGCGAACGAAAATCCCCGTGAGTATCAATGTTTCCCTATTGACATACATTTTGTTTTATTAGTGTTTAATTTAAGTTTATTTACATTTAACCAATTCATAATTTATTCAATATAACTATTTAACAAATCTAAAGCAGTGTCCAAATACTTATGTGCTATATACAGGGTGTTTCAGTTTATTGTTGCATAACTTTAAGATTCGATAGAACTTTTAAAATTAATGCATAAAGTCTTTATAAACATGGGTCGAAAAATGCGTGGCTTCCGAAATACAGCGTGTTTAAATTTACTTTCTAAAATAGTTTTTTTTTAAATATTTCGAACAATATTTGATGTATAACAGTGAAAATTGGTATACAAGGGTTTTTTGGTACGACAAAACGAACCATGAGCATAATTTTACTGTAGCCGCTAGAGGGCGCTCTTTACTGTACCTGTAGTGTATTAAAATGACCGAAATTTTTTGCTTTTTGAATAAAAAAACTGATTCTTCGCACTTTTCAACATAAAAAAGCTCTCCTGTAAGTTTTCGTTATAGTTAGCCGTTTTTGAGATAATTCGATTTTTAAGGTTCGATGCATTTTTAATTATTTATGGGAAAATAATATTGTTTTTACATTTTCGATTTGGGCATTACAAGTAATTAAGATGATTTAAACACAGCAATAATTCCTAACTCCAAATAAACACAAAAAAAAACAGAATATTAATTTGTTTAATTTTCCAATATTATTTTTAACAAATTAAATTAATTATTTGCAACTAAAATGCTATTGGATAGTTAGGACAAACATACAAAATCTAAAGTAGTTGCTCGAAATGTAAACCCAATTCGTCAATACACAATTCACACGGATGATCGAACGTGGTATAGCATTATTCAAATAAGCCCTTATTTCATCACATGCATTCCTGATTCTGTCTATTAGCATATCTCTTGTGGTTACGGGAGTCTGGTACACTTTTTCTTTTAGAAATCCCCACACACAGAAATCTAATGGATTTAGGTCAGGGGATCGTGGAGGCCAGGCGACTGGTCCTCCACGGCCGATCCATCTTTCTGGATAATTTTCGTCCAGCCAGTTTCTAACTATTCTCGAATAATGAGCGGGACAACCATCAAGCTGGAACCAGGCCAATCTTCTTAAATCTAACATAACATCATCCAACATATTTGCATGTTCAGCCTTTAAAAATTCCAAGAAGGTCGCAGCATTTAACCTTGCAGGCAAAAGGTAGGGTCCAAATAGTCGATTACGGTAGATACCAATCCACACGTTCACACTAAATTCATGCTGAAAATTTCTTTCCCGAACTGCATGCGGATTTTCATGCGACCAAATATGTTGATTATGAAAATTTACCACTCCACGTCTAGTGAAGCATGACTCATCGGTCCATAAAACGTTACTTAAAAACTCCCTATTATTATCAGTTCTATCAAGAATCCACTGACAAAATGTGATTCTTCGTTCTCCGTCCCCTGGCTGTAGTCCTGCACAGGTTGCAAATGGTAAGGACGTCTATGGTCATTTCTAAGAACACGGTGAACATGACTTGCTGAAATTCCCAAGGCACCAGAAACTCTCCTAACACTTGTGGTCGGATCTCTATCAAACTCACGCAGAATCATACGGGTAAATCTGCGCTGACGAACATTTATGTTTTGATCCCTTTGGAGATTTCCAAAACCATTTTCAATTATTTGGCGATGCACTCTTACAAATACTGAGCGAGTTGGATAACGTCTGTTTGGAAATCTTCGTGCGTTTTCTCTGGCTGCTTCTGCTAAAACAGGTAAAAGAAACTAAATTTCGTGCATTCACAATTGCAAAAAAACGTTTCAGGTTTCAACAGACAACAAAACTAACTGTCAACTAATTGACGTTTAACCTTATTCTGCTTTCAATTTCAAAAATATTTGCAGGCACAGACTACTTCTAAAAATTATCGAGATACTGACTTTTTAACGTTATTTTATCATAGTTAATTAAACATGCATCGAACCTTAAACATCGAAATATCTCAAAAACGGCTAACTATAACGAAAACTCACAGGAGAGCTTTTTTATGTTGAAAAGTGCGAAGAATCAGTTTTTTTATTCAAAAAGCAAAAAATTGCACTAAGAAAAATTTTTCGGTCATTTTAATACACTACAGGTACAGTAGAGAGCACCCTCTAGCGGCTACAGTAAAACTATGCCCACGGTTCGTTTTGTCGTACCAAAAAACCCTTCTATACCAATGTTCACTGTTATACATCAAATATTGTTCGAAATATTTAAAAAAACTATTTTAGAAAGTAAATTTAAACACCCTGTATTTCGGAAGCCACGCATTTTTCGACCCATCAATCAATTTAATGAAACTTACTGTCTTACTGACTACAAATTTTGGCGTAACTTAGAAAAATTTAATGCCATTTATTTGTAAATTACCCAATTTAAAAACGTTTTAGGTTAGATTATAAAAATTAGTAATATTGTGGTGACTGTGGTCGATATAAAGCACTTGAAGTTGTAAACTATAAAGCCATTTAGACAAAAACCTATTGACTTTTGGACCATGGGTCATATGAACTTTTTGACTTGTTTTGACCCCCCTATTACCCATTTCAATAATGACTACCATAACGTTTACACCCTGCATAAATAATAAATAGTAACGGCCGTAATTTACTCCCCTGTGGCACCCCTACTGATATATTTAGAACAAATCACATAATATTTCCAACTTTAGTTTTTTGACTTCTATTTACTAAATAAAATACTAAAAATAAATGTGTAATACTGTTCCCTTAAAGCCACAGTGACGCAATATCATCAACAATTTTTCCCTATCTATAGTCTCAAATGCCCTTTTGAAGTCTAAAAATATTGTTACAATATATTCTTTCTCATCTATACTTCTTCTCAAGTCTTCCACCACCATTTGGGTTGCCGTTTCTGTGGAACATTTTTTTCTAAATCCAGCTGGATTTTTTATCAAAATTTTGGTTTCTTCAATGAATTCTATGATTTGTTCATGCATGCATGCATATTTGTATACAGCTGAGAATTTTGAACTTTTGGCACAGGAGTAATGGTGGAACACTTTAATTTTGATGGGAATTCACCATGTACTAAACAATGATTCACCAATAATAATAATTTCTCCAATTATATTGAAACAATCATACTTCATTTATGTATTTTGGTGCAATGTTCTTTTTACCTAAACTATATGTTGCAAATAAACATGAGTATTATCATTATATCAGCTGAACAGCAATTGTCATCTTTGTCTATTTATAACCTTCTACTCGTATATGACCTTTAACACAACTTCAACGCCCTCTGCTACTATTCAGATATCGGTAAATTAGGTCGATACCGCCGATACACATATAAGTATCGGTCGATCCCTAGAACTCATTAATTTTGAAATTAGTATAGATTCATTTCCATATGCAAATATCGATAGTTACCTAAATAATAAAACATATTTATCTATATCTATTAAAGGGTTGCCGAGCTCGAGGCAGAAATATCGAGAACGCACACGTTAGAATTAGAAGTCAACCCTGAATTCCATCCGAAGATCATCGGCAAGAGAGGAGCCGTCATCACGAAAATCCGAAAAGATAGAGAAGTCCAAATCAATTTTCCGAAGAAAGGTGATCCAAACGAACACATCATAACCATAACCGGATATGAAGAAAATGTCCAAGGTGCCAAAGATGATATCATGAAGATTGTCAACGAACTGATGGAACTCGTCAGAGAAGAGGTCTTGATCGACGCGCGAGTCCATTCGCGTCTGATCGGTTTCCGTGGTCGCAACATCAAGAAAATTATGGAAGACTACTGTGTTGATATCAAATTCCCTAGATCGGACGAACCTGATCCTAACCTAGTTGTTATTTCCGGCCAAGAAGAGAACGTTAGTGACGCCCGTGATCATTTGCTCAATTTAGAAGAAGAATATGTAAGTATTTTCTTTCAGACTCGCCCCGAAGTTTCTCACATACATGTAACACTTCAGCCGTAGATTAATAGTATTTGAATGCAATATTGGTTTAGATATGGTAGATATGAAATGTATCAGGAAGCTGCAAAACCGTCGAGACCTCTATGACTATTTACCCTACAATGTTTCTATTAGTTACAAAAATAATACGGTATTTATTGTTTTCAATACTACCCTTGAATAATATGATTTTTTTTAGCATTATGTTGTTCTTTATTCCTTGACTTGAGACCAACTATGAGAAGATTACTCTTTTAGACACTTGAAGTTTCATAATGTGAAGAAAAAATAAAGTTGATGATCGAGGATAAGAGACGAAACTTCATAATCCCCCATGTTTGTCTGGCCAATCAAACCACATAATATGTTTAAAATTTCTCTTTATTGAACGACGTTTCGATCCCAAAGGTGACTTTGAAGTACAATTTACGAACCGTCATATTGAAGATTTAATTATACCTTCTTGTAGGGAAGATATACAGGGTGGCGCATCGAAAACGAAACAGAGGCATTTACTGGCAGCTCAGTTTTTTTTGAAAAACGCTCAGGCCCGTCGATTTTGTTTTCGAGGGGGACACAAGTTTGGCAAAAAATCACGTTAGCACGTGCAGGCCCCTAAGTGGGGGTGACAGCACCCCCAAAATCTTAAATGGAAAGGGGGGTCGAGTGATACCTTATTTTAAAGGTCTTTCAATTCCCTTTATAATGATATAAAATTAATGTTCTTCAGTTCAGTAGTTTTCAAGATTTATTGATTTAAAGCTTTAATAAAACTAATACATCATTAGTGGAGATCAATACATTTGGCAGCAAAGTGATTTAAAAATGAAGAATGAACTGACCCGTTAGGCAAGTAAATGTTGTAAATGGCCAACATGACTATCCATGTAATAATAAAGATTTTGCTCAAAACGTTGCCGCACATTTTGCAATATTTGAGGAGTAATTTGAAGGCACTCATTCACAATTCTTTGTCGCAGGTCTTCTAATGATGTTGGCTGAGTAGCATAGATTTCCATACAATTTCCTATAAAAATCGTGGATCTTCCCGGTGTTTCTGCAATATTGTTTGACAAAACTCATTTCTGAGAAGATAGATAAGATGGGTTGTAGACAGTGCCGGATGCTCCGCTGTTCGATTTTGGTTCGCCTGCGCGCATGACGTCACGCGGAGAGTGATTATCGTTTGGGTTGATATGGATAAACGTGCATATTTTCACCTACAGGCCAAACGGCTGGACGGATTCTCACATATGAGGTGTCATTGGATTCGTCTTAGCGGTGCGAGTGACACTAGCTACATTGAAATTTTATAAAAAACAAAATGGTGGATTTTAATAAAAGATTTCAACCTTGTAATTCCTACTTCATAGGCTACAGATCAAACGGCTTGATAGATTTTCACATATGAGATGTCGTTGGACTCGTCTTAGCGGTGCGAGTGACACAATCTACATTAAAATTTTATACAAAACAAAATGGCAGATTTGAATAAAAGATTTCAACCTTGTAATTCCTATCTCAGAGGCTATAGCTTAAACGGCTTTCTAGCTCCACAATAGAGCGTGTATCGTCACTTTACTGTGAAAACAAGATTTTTTTTCTGCGTTACCTATATTTTAGTATGTTCTGTGGAGCAGGATTAACATGCTCATGACGTTAATACTGCACTACATTTATTCATCCTTATTTCACAGAACATCCTAAGTACTAACTACATGCAAGTGTGAAAATGTACGCAACTCGAAAAGTAGAAAAATGCTGTTATCATCTTTTTGCAGTAATCTGGCGGTATAACAATAAATGGAAATGACTTAGTCTAAGCCACAATTTTTCTCCACTTCCTTTCACGATTTTTCTAGTCTTTCAAACTGACATTCAGTTCTTTGATCCGGAAAAACATCCTTGACCTGAAAAATAAATAAAAAGCTTTTTCAGGGCAGTCAATGTTGCTGCTGTTCAACAGAAGTTCGCTTATAAAATTTTGCTTTTCTGTCACCATTCCATCCCCATTGAATGTAGTTAACACCTTATTAAGCTTCTCAATTTGATTCATGAAAGCTGTGGAAGGTTTTGATAATCCACTCTCACTAAGATGGTCTATCCAGGGGTAAGTTTCATTTAGACTGGGTGTCGGAATTACATCCCACAACAGCACACCGCATTTTTAACAATTTATCAACCACATAGGCTATATAAAGTATGTATAACTAATAGAACAGGTCACAAAACCCCCCAAATACACCAACAAATCACACTATATAGTATTAACCACAATACCCGTTAACTACAGTAACGTTACGACAATCCTGCCGCTGGTAACCACGAGCCGACAACTCTCCGGGTGACGTCACGAAGCTCCGCCCACATTCGCAATATCCTATCTCCAGTGTATGTGTATCGTGGGTTGTAGAGATTATACCCGCTGTTCGTGGTACGGATGGAGCTAGTCCTTTCGCGTGATTCGGTGGGCTGTACTTTTGGGCACTCCCGTACTTGCTTCTATTTGACGTACTCAGGTACTCGGGTCTTCTTCGACAATCTCGTATGGAAAGAAAATTCTCCCTCCTTTGATTAGGGAATCGTCCCTCTGAGTGTAAACGGTGCACATTCACAAAAACTCGGTGATCGGGATGACGAGCAGTATTTGGGTAACTCTCACGACAAAGCCCAGCTGCAGCACTAAGATTGCATCTACATTCGCCATAAATGAGGTGCATGTTGGCGTATTCCTCTACGGTGTACACAGACATGGTGGCACTACACAATCGCGAATTAATAAAAGTGGCATTACTATCTGTCTTACTGCCACTACGTAGAATGATACTGTCCGTTACTACGTCTAAGAAAAACATTGAAATTTGCAGGCAAACATCATAACAGGCCCTATGATCTGAAAAGTAAACGACTTAGATTTTTTTTATATTATTCTGATAACTACGAGTATTATGACTTGGCCTATCCCCCGCTTCCGGCTTGACGTCGATTTCTGGGACACTCTGTATATTTTTATTAAAAATTCCATCTTAGAGCCAGGAAAATTACGTTTCTTCCTACTATCTCGGGAAATACTCGGAATTGCGAAACTTTGCAAGTGCCATTTGCTCAGTTACCCAAATGCGTAACTCTGTCCCCATTTAAATTTCTTTTTTTGCAGCTGCAAGACGTGGAAGAACTGCAGATCCGCGAGAAGACCCACACGCTGAACGTCCACTTGGAGGCGGTATCGAGCACATCCCCGTCTAACGGCTTTGTGGTGCCCGGTGGGCCCTGGGAGCAGCGCGGGTCCGGGGGCCACACGGCGCCTGCGCCTGACACCGCCAGCGTCACCGATTTCCCGGCTTTCGGCAGAGGCGGCCCCGGTTCTGGTGATCAACAGTCTGCTGCTGCTCCGATAGCGGGTGCCTGGGGCGCCAGGCGCTGAACGTTGCCCCCTAGTTGCCTGCACCGAAACGTCTTGGTATGATCTGATATTTGGTTTTGTGTTCGGTTGCTGGAGTTTTTTTCCTGAGGTATCATTCAATTTTTACATTTTTTGTGCCCATTTCAATATACCACTAAGCAATTTTGTGGTTTCTTTATCAAATATTAATCAACGAATGTGATGTCTAAAAATGTGGATATTTGAATTAATATTGACATTTGAGCTTGTTTTCCAGTAGCTATTGATTACAGACTTCGAAAGTGCACCGAATTCGAAATTTAATTTTTTTAATGGTCTGTAAAGGTAAAAGTGTGACGTCACTGACTCAAGGTCGCTGGTAGATATTGTTCATTCATTCTCTTTCTCTATTGATGCAAATGCAAAAAAAAGTTGACATTGCTGATTGCCTAGAAATGGGAAGCAGTGACGCCGCACCCAGGTTAGGTATATTTATTAGCAACTCAGGCCATTTCTTGTCAGGTATCAATACCTGTAAACATGCCAAATGTCAGTATTGATAACAGGCCTATAAAGCAGTCTTAGATCTATACGTCAGACCAGCAGGTCAAGTCTTGCAAAATAATAAAACGGGTAGGACTAATTTGACGTTGAAGCATATGCATATAATAGTGCCAATCCATTATTGCGATCATTGGTCATGTTTATAACGGGCCGCGATGAGCACGGAACGTTAAACAACTTTGTCGTTCTGTAGGCCTGCTACATACTCACTGGTTAAGCATAAGTCCCATGACTCGATATGAAATTCAATATGAATCCAACTGTATCCCCGGTAGACGGCGCTAGTGATATTGGAGGTAAAACGTATCGTTGAGGAAAATACTATCTGTCTCTATGGTTAACGACCACAAGGAGTCAGATACGATAACACAACATTTTGCACAAAGACTTACTTGCAAGTGAAACATATTAGCACGAGCGTCTGTGACCTTTCTAGCGCCATCTACTTCTAGCTTTCCAGATTACCCTTCATTGGCAAGTCGGCAAAAGTGAGGTTATGTAAAATGATAGCATATACCCTATCTGATGAGCATCCATCACGGTAGAATGACAGCTGATTATGTAGTAATATCTGAAAATCCGCCATATCCGCTCAGGACACATAATTCCGACGGATCCGTCTATGCCAGGTAGTAAGGTAATTGAATACAATATGCCCACCTTAAGCAATTTATTTTCATTTGTGCGTTAAGTTGAATAATAAGAAACGCCAATTATTGCATGATAGAGTTCAATATACTTAGAAGCTACAAAAAAATCGTTGTCACAAAAAATTTATTTGGAATATTTTTCACCGAATGTTTAAAAATATGTGTATATGAGCATATTACCAACACGGTGTTGGTAATACGGCCAAGTATGGAAATGCCTGAAATTATAAGAAAAGTGAAATAAGTACACGTTTATTTTAAACTTAGTATACATTATAAAAGAAAATAAAAAAACTGCATTTTATTCGCATAATGGGCAAATAAATCTTTCTTTCATTTCTTTGGTTAAACCTACGCAATCCTCATGAACACACTTCTGACAGACGAAACACAGGCGCATATCAGCGATTTCATTTAACTCACAAACTGCACAATACCAATCTTGCTCATTTACTTTGCTTGAGGTAATTTTTTTTCTCGTTTCTTTAGATTTTGCCGCTTTAGTTGTTAACGTAGCTTTAGGTATTATAGCTTCAGATCTTGACATGGCTTTAGGTATTGTTGTAGCTTTGAGTGCTGACTCAACATTAGATGTACCTGGATTGTTTTTGTTAAAAACTGCTCGTTTCACTACAAGAGCTCGACTGTTTATAGCCTTCTGCCTCATATTTTTTACTGATTTCACAACTTTATCCGGGGTTTCCAACATTTCTGTTATTGACTTGTGCAGAAGTTGATTAGATGAGAACATTTCGTCGTCTGAATCCGAGCTATCCATCAGAACTGGAGGCACGTTTTCTTCACCCGAGGTGTCGTTATGAGAAGAGCTACTTGGAGTTCTTGGCCTTTTTCGGATATTTGATGGCCCTGCTACAGGAGATGCTGCTATGGTGGGCTGGACGATGGGGTCCTCTAGTTCATCTCTTATTTGTGTAACTTCACTAGGAGCGTATGCCAATTCCCCTATTGCTTCGGGATTGAATGGAAAAATACCAGTTGCGGCGAAGCCTGCTTTTATATTTGCTGGCGTTGCACTTTTTTCCGACACTTTACTAAAAATTTCACCAAACCGCTGTTTTGTGAGGTTCCGATCTTTGTATCTTACCCAATACTGGAGTACTTGATCATCCCAGTGGTGTTCAAAAGAACGAAAGACCGCATTGTCCATTGGCTGTAACTCATGTGTAGTGTTGCTCGGTAAGCAATAAAGTACGATGTCATTTTTTTCTGCAACATCTACAATCGTATAGTCCAGGTGGCATTTAGCACCATCAAAAATCAATAGACATTTTCCTGGAGGCTTATGCTTAGCCAAATGCTCAATCCAGGTGCAAAATGTTACAATATTCATGCTGCCTTTAGGAGTCATAAGGACTAGTGTTCCTGGTGGTAATGGATCTTGCCATTCTGGTTTCATTCTTATACCTTTGAATAAGATTGCCGGTGGGATGGCATTACCCAAGGCATTGCCACAGGACACAATTGTTTTCTCCGTGTTCTGGAGCTACTAGGTGAACTCGTTTGGCCCCTTTTTTTGCCAACACACTTTGCTGATGGTGTAAGTTTAGCGTACATCCTTTTTCATCAATATTGAAAATTCTTTCTGGTCTCTCCATAATACCTAGTTCCAGAAGGATTTCTTTTAATTTTGTAAAGTGATCATTCACAATAAACCTGTTCAGTTTTTGGGCACGAGCAGGATTCATACTTTGTGCTTTTCATTTCCTTATTTCAGGATTTCTTTTCAAAAATCCAATAAGCCAATATCGACCAGCCATTCTAGACATGGTGGAAAATTCATTTTGTATACCATTTTCGGTGCAGAAATTGAAAACACACCTTCTAAGTGTCCTTGATGTTAACGGGTAGCCAACCTCCGCCAAACGGATTATTCTTCTAGATAGTTCGCCTTCTTGATCAGCAGTCAGTACTGGTTTGCGCCCCATTTTTGCCTTATCACTTCGGTTACAATCAATATATCTAGACAGAGTTCTTCTTGGTATTGAAAATGCCTTTGAAGCACCTTGACGAGACATTCGACCTTCCTGCACAGCTGCGACTGCATTTTTTAAGTCTTCTTTGCTCCACTTACTACGAATGCCCTGATTTCGCGCCTTACCAGTCATACCTGAAAGAATGTACACAATATTTTACTGATTAGCGAAGAGCTGACAATATGCCCATGCGCATATTGCTCACACCGCATGGTGGGCATATTGCTATACATGTAGTAAAATTAGGTTAGGTTATGTTTTTCTCGAACGTATGATCTTACGTCGACTGCTTGCACCCCAGTATAAAACTAAATATCCGTATATGGATCACACATTACTGCAAAGCTTTAAAACTTTTTTTCGCCTCTTTATAATAAAGGGTGTCTCATAAATATTTTCTTATTTTATGCCATAAATAAAAATACTTAGAATATTTTTACAAAGATAAATTTATTACCAAACGAAAGCCTAAACATTAATTTTATTTATGGAAAAGAGTATCGGATAAATGAGCACCGTTCATGTTTTCACACTCTCTTAATCTCGAACTGAAGTTTTCGATCACTCTCCGAAGCATTGCTCGAGGAATGGCGTTTATTTCATCTGTTATTTTTTGCTTCAACTCTCTCAAATCTTGTGGCGGTGGGGTGTATACCTTACTCTTCAGGTATCCCCATAAGAAAAAATCTGCTGGTGTCAAATCGGGACTTCTCGGTGGCCAGTTAATGTCTCCTCTGCGACTGATGACCCTCTCTGGGAATAACTGATGAAGAGCATCCAAGGATTCATTCGTGACATGAGAAGTCGCTCCATCTTGCTGGAAAAACGTGTTTCTATTGTATCCACCATGGTTCTGTATAGCTGGAGTTAAAAAAGTCCTAATCATGTGGCAGTAGCGCTCAGATGTTACAGTTTGAGCTTGGCCACGATTGTCTTCAAAAAAATACGGGCCAATGATTCCTTGCCCTGACATAGCAGCCCAGACGATAACTTTAGGCGAGTGTAATGGCGTCTCATGAAGATTTTGCGGGTTCTGCTCGGCCCAATATCGGCAGTTTTGTTTATTAACATGCCCGTTAATGTGAAAATTCGATTCATCAGAAAACCATATGTTGTTGTAACCGTTAAAATGCTCTCTCATTGTTCTACAGAACTCTAATCGATTAGCGGGATCTTGTGGTTTTAATTGTTGTGTAACAACAATCTTGTATGGGTGAAAATGCAAATCCTTGCGAATAATGCGATGAACAGTTGACTTATGCAAAGTTAGAGACGCTCCACGCAGTCTTAATGATTGCCGGGGATCCTCGTTAACGGACTGGCGCACACTTTCAATATTTTCGTTCGATCTTGCTGACCTTGGCCGTCCAGGCGGTTTACTAATACACGTGTTTCCAGTGCTCTCGAACTTTCTTACCCAATATTTAATTAAATTTGCGCTTGGGACATCTCTCATTCTTGCTATGTTATAATGATTTCTGTACAAACGACGTACAAGCACATAAGAATCCTTGTTTTTATAGAACTCGCGAACACAAAAAGCACGTTGCGGCCCTGTAAAACGCTCCATTGCAACTAAAATTTAACAATGTTGCCAAACGTTTGTCAACTGTCTCGTTTCTCCGGAGCATGCGTATTCCGCCAGAGGACTGATCTAAAAACGAAAATATTTCTGAGACACCCTTTATAAAACTTACCGTGCTAGTATTATAACGCTGTCTCAAAAAAACGATTGTTAGCGACACCATTCGATTCACGCTTGTAACTGACTGGATTGTTGACTCTAATATGGCGTTAGGATAACTGCAACCTATGGGTAGGGTATGTGCTGACATCTTTCGCAAAATAGCCAAACTATTGTACGTGAGCATATTGCCGACATGCGCATATTGTATTCACCTACCTTACTTGCTAAAAGCTCTTAAACTTTGCAGACTAACACAAAAATGTCACTAGCTGATCAGCTGTTCACCTTAGTAGACGTCAAAGCGTGATGGATACTTGTGAAATATACCCTAGGTTGTCGTGTTATACGGCCCTTAGAGTCAGTTCACACGTGCCGGGAAATTGCAACCGATAGTCAGCCGGCACCAGTACATCCTTTTACATTTCTGTTCTAAACTGCTATTAAGTGATGTGATGGAATAATTATTTCTAGCTGACATTAGAAATCGAAAATGGAATTGCAGACCGTCTTATTTTCCACTAAGGGTGGCGAGCACCAGCTAAGAGAACTTAAAACTAAATTAGTATGTTGCTGAAAGTGTATAAAATAAGAGAATTCGGGGCTTCTATATATGGATGTTAGGATGGTATTTTCTGAGGCTACATTGTTCTACTATAGATAGATAGATAATTTAATAATAATTAATAAGAAGTTGGACTAAATCATCTGCAAATAAATAAAATAATCCCGCAGAAAGGAGACCCTTGTGCGCGTGTAAAACATTTATAATTTGCATAAAGGACATACATGAAGTTACAGAATTTTAATAAAGGGTGAAGTTTAACTAAATTCGAGAATAAAATTGAGTAAACATTTTGGTCTAACCCTATATTTTTATTTTGAAATTTCAATAATTTGTTAAATGTCATTTCTGGGTATGTTTAAGATCCATAGTTTATTTATGAATAGAGTAACTAATTATGTCAGTAATATATACATTTATGGAACTATTTGGTGTTGCCAACTCCATACATTTCTATCAACATACTAATTTAGTTTTGAATAATCTTGGTTGGTGCTCGGTACTCTAAGAATCGTAATAATGATTTTTGAAAAATGCAAGGCGCGGGATGTATATCATACAAAGCTTAAACACCCAAAACAACATCGTCTGATACAGCACTTGCCCACAATAATAACGCTTCATACTCTTATCGTGCAACCCGACTGTAGCATCCATTTGCTTGCTGGTACATGATGCCAGACTGTTTGATAGAACTTGTTGTCAAATGCCCTTATAGTATAATTTATAATGTCTTTTGTCTATATTGATGTATATCTTGATAGTTATCTAGACGTTTCGGTCTTACCCGTGCTCGTTACCTCATGGCACGCAGCAAAATCAGGATTACTTTCAACGTATAATATTTTCAATTCCTGTTAGTGTTGTACTATTTAGCTAATCAAGTGATGATAAATGGATATTTTTAGAGAAAAATGTATATTTCAGCATCTTATAATAGTCGCATGATGAGTAATGTAAGATTATTTTTTTATGGAATTGTAATTTAATTGTGGTGTAGGTTAAGCTGAACAATCCATATTGACAGAAAGTGTAATTTATTAATATACTAGTTGCTACTTATATATATTTTTTTGCAATTCATTATACAGTAAGTTAACACGAGTATTATACCACTGGAGCACAGCCAGCAAGGAATATGAGCACAGCATATAGGTACAACAGTATACACCAACGACACTCCCAAAAACTTACGCTGATTTTTTGGGCGAGATGCTGCCTCATGCAATCGTATTGCATGGCTAACCCTGACTAGTTGATCGCGGAGCATACGTTTTAAATAGTAGAAAATGCAATTTACATGTTGTGTGTTGTCACTAGACGGTCAATAGCCAGTGTTTTCGTTTATATACCCTATGATGCCTCAGCTGTATAATACTCCAGGTAACATACTGTAGAACAGGGGTCTGTGATCTTCGGAGATTTGCTTTGAAATATGTGGCGTTTTATGGCCTAATTTTTTAAGACTATGGCATGTAGAGCTGAGCTGAGATAATATGTAGAAAGTCTCTGAAATCGGTTTTGTATTGGGTTGTCAAAAACCATAAAATTAGTTACAGAGCAAAACGCTATGCCCTCTCTTTGACAAAATACAGAATTTAAAGTTGCTTTCAAAGCTACTACGATCATTTTGACCTACCAGAAAAAATGAGACAAAAAACTTTTCAACTCTCATAAAGGTACAATTTTAATAAAAAAAAACATAATATAAATATGAAGTTCTTCACTTTTGTCAGATCAGTAGCAAATCGAAAAACTTTAAAATTTCAATTTCCCTCTGTTTAACGTTAAAAATAACAAAGTGATTGTGCTGTTGTAAAATCAACTTCACATTGGTAGCTTGGTCTAACTGAAATAAATTCTTTATATCAAGATGTTTGAACTACCAATTTTAAAAAATCCTCATCTCAATGTTGTACAGCTCTGCATTTGAAGCGTCTTGCCACATTTTTTAAATTCTATATAATTTCTGCTCAAGAAACACTACCGATGCTGCGTGGTTCGAGATGAACGAAGTCTCGGGAATTGTGAAGTGTCGAAGAGGTTACGTTAAAATACTAACCTTAGTTTTGTAAGTTGTAGTTATGGTTGCAACCTTATTCCCTCACTGTTTGCTGCATTAAATAGGCCTGGCGATGACACTGGACTCACGATTTTGTTCAACGGATGAGACAATAATTTTTTCATATTTAGGGTAATCAATTGTGGTAAAGCAATCGCTATTCTTTATGATTCCTTGTTTTTCGCTCTAGTCATTTTACGTGCGGCTACGAAGCTGATTGTATATTTGCATTTTTTTTCAGTGACTTATGTTGTTTAGGGCCTGTCAGTGTGAATATGATGTGAAAAGAAATATTTCTAAACACAAATCAGATGGGGATGTTAGAAGCTTTTGACCCATAATCAAAATATTTGTATATCTACTGTTGTAGTTATTATTTTTCTGGGAAAAGATGCAGTGAAATATTTTTGGGCCACCCCTTGCCGAGACTGTCCAGCAGAAAAATCTTCTGGTTTGTGGACAGCCTGGTGGCACTGTGCTTCTGTCGAGTCTGAATAATTTGCCAGTAAAATTAATATTCACATACTGGGTTGGCAGAGAATCATTGAGGACCCGTATTTACAGTGTATGAGAGATATAAATAGAAAAACACGCGAATGAATGGCCTCGACGACGCCAAGGAGAACGAGTCTGTGAACGTGTTTTGTCTCTTTATCTTGTTCGTTCAAAATTCGGAATTTTAATACTTCTATGCCGATCCTGTATATCAATCAGCTGTAACGTGTCGTCGAAACAGTATTTCCAATCACTTTTATTAATTTTGCAATTGGAAACAATGTTCATAGCTGTATGAGAAAATATAAATTTCCTCATCTGTTGAGCTGGTATATTCTGAACTAAGAATACGAAACCGTCGTATTCTTTTGACGATATTAAAACATTCATGTCTTCCCTACCGCATTTGGGCAGACGTCCGGCCTATAATTGGCACTAATAAATGTAGAGATGTTATGATATTTAATAATTTTATACATTTCTTTAAGTTAGCTGTATATGTTCTCAATCAGTTTCTATATGTATATTACGGTAGATGTAAGCCTCCTGTTATAACACGTTATGAAAAGATGCATACAACGTTATATCATATTCATTTGCGAGTTTTATAATTAAACTTTTCGTAAACATTGAAGATTCATTTTAGAGATTAAATAAAAAGCTGTTTATCATTGGCATTGCAATTGGAGCCTCTCAAATCTGGTTTGTCAATAAAATTTGGTTCAAGTTACTGACAAAGTTTCGTAAAGTCGGCCGAGTATATCGTGGTCGGAGAAAAAAATGGACTACCTCGATTATTATGTCATTTACTATTTGAGTCAAATGAACACTGGCATTGTTATGTGCAACACAAAGGATTTATTTTCAGGAATTGGATGAGTAGTCCATGTGGCCCAGCATTATTTTGATAGAGCCAAAATAAATGTTCAGTGATTACGGATAGCTTATTTTTTATTTTTGTTCGTGTCATAACTTCTCTGCCGTTCGAAACAAGGCAGTGTATCGTGCCTTCCTATCATTTTTTTATACGAGCATGTACTGAATTCTTGTTGCTAGCTAGCACTATATGTTAGGTCCACAAGCTTGTTTTTTGTAGTATGGGTTAATGGATTTTTTTTGAGTTGTATCTTTTTTTGTATTGTTACGATTTATTGTGGTACGATATAAATTATTATTTTAAATAACCTCGACTGATTGTGTTGAATGGAATTCAACGTTACTTAATGAAATTTGTTTGTAAAATTCATCTTTCAACTGTTATTTTTATGTATATATGATATATAATATATATATACTGAGTCCTTGCGGTCGATTTTGTTAGCCCAGGACGAACCTGAGGGAGAGAAAATATATTACATATAAAAAATTTTGCGTTGTTTTCTTGCCCGTACCAATATATAACTGATTTGAATTGCGCGCTATTTTTGATATACGCATTTCAGTAGGTGGCGCCGTAGTAGTTCTTTAAAGCACATGTGATCAATTCATCATGGAGCGCTACACGATCCCACTACGCGTCCGTACTGTTAAAACGTTTTACTCAAATAATGAGTCGATTGTTGCAGCGATTCGGAAGCTACAATATATCGGTCCAAATAATGTGCCCAGTGTCAACATCATTCGTCAGTTAGTGCGTAAATTTGAACAAACAGGTGAAGTTAAAGACTTGCCAAGGTAGGGCCGAGTTCGAAGTGTTCGTACTCCGGAAAATATCGAGAGAGTGTAGGGAGCGCCCTGAGACGTCTACCAGACATCGTTCTCAAGAACTGGGTATTCGTCGCACGTCATTATGGACTATTTTAATAAAACACTTCCATTTGCAGCTATACAAAATTCAGTTAACCCAAGAACGACTGCCTAGTGACCATGGAAGTCACCGACAATACAGTCATGCAATATTGCAGCTTAATACCCAAAAGAACGATTTTAACTACTGATAATGAGCGATGAAGCCCACTTCATTATGAACGGATTTGTTAATAAGCAGAATTGTCGTATCTGGCCATTAGAGAACCCTCGTGTCATCCATCAACGACCACTACATCCTCGTCGCGTCACAGTTTGGTGCAGTTTGTTATGGAGGTGTCATTGGACCTAAGTTCTTTCAAGACGCAGGTAATTCTCTTACTGTCACTGGCGAGCGCTACCCAGATATGGTGCAATACTTTCTGGCTCCTCAAATCCAACAGTTTAACCTGCAAAACATGTGGTTTCAGCAGCAACTTGTCACACAGCTATGCTGCGAACAATATTTCCGGGACGTTTAATTTCTCGATTTGGTGACGTCAACTTGCCACCAAGGTCACCGGATTTAACGGCTCCTAACTTTTTTATGGGGATTTTTGAAAAATAGGGTTTATGCCCACAAACCAAATACTGTAGAGCAGCTAAAGAACAATATTACGGAAGCGATTGAAAATATTCCTCCCGAAACCTACAAAAAATTTATTTATAGCTTTTATTGCCCAACAGATAATATTCCATTTATAGGCCAAAATCTTAAATTAGAAATATTATAAAAGCCTAACTTATAAAACTATCTAAGGCGCTCCCGCAAAACACATTTCAGCTCCGAAATGGAACATAAGAATATGTCACAAAACTTATAAATACTATTATAATTCAAACACATAACTCTTTCAGGTGATTTCAAAATCAAATTTGTGTTAGCACGACTTCTAAAGAAAGTAACATTACATCTTGAAACGGATCTTGGCGTTAAAAACTGTAGTTGTGATAACAATTCCGAAGAAACTACAGTTCCATGCAAGAGTTTAAACAAAAAAATAACAGAACTGTGCTTCTTTCTCACATTCAAAGGCGTCATTTTAAATCTGTCTAACAGAATTTGATAGTCCGATCCACGTTGAGGGTAGACTATCGCACTTAAAAGCTAGATATTTTAGAAACTTTTTTTGATCATAATCTATCCTGTTTGTATAACAGTTATAGTAGGGATTCCATATTAGGGATGCATACTCTAACTTGGATCTTTTAGTTTTTTTAGTACTCTCAAATCATTGATTAGCTTACAATTTCTGATGAGAAAACCTAAGACCCTATTAGCATTATTCACAATATTATCTATATGACAGTCAAAACTAAGCCTAGTGTCAAACATAACACCCAAATCACGAACAGTAACAACTCGAGTGACCTCAATTCCCCCAATACTGTATGCGTATTCTATTTTACGTAGCTTTCTGGATAAAGTAACTACCTTGCATTTAGCAATATTCAAATGTAACCTGTTTAGCATACACCAATCTTCCAAACGGCAAAGTTGCATTTGTAAAGTCTCTTTCACTATTAATATTAACATACAGTTTCAAATCATCAGCAAATAATAGTTTACCACAATCAATATATACTAAGTGACATATAAATCCGAACACACAGTTTAAATGGTTTTATTTTAATAAAATTTTGTATAAGTACTTAATGAAGCATAATAAGTAAATGATAAAAATTTCAAAATGATTGCACTGCTTTAAAGCCCTTTGACCTTTAATAATGTGTGGATGCTCCCTGATGTGCTACGCATTCTCCAACGCGCCTAGGCATGCTTCTGATCAGGTGGTCAATGTCCTCCTGTGGTATCTCATTCCAGGCAACCACCAACTCCTCTCGAAGTGACCTGGAACCATAAGCTATAGCACCCCAAACCATAACTCCAACAGTGTGATGAACATGTCTTTCAACAAAAAACTGTGGATTCCTCCTTTCACCACGTCGCCTTCTAACCCTGGCACGACCATCGTGCATGCCTAAACAAAATCGAGACTCGTCACTACAGACAATACTGTTCCATTCCTGATCCCAGAGTGACCGTTGTCTGCACCACTCAAGGCGATTACGTCGGTGTTCTCGAGTTAAAGGGAGGACCCAGTGTGGCCGGTATGAAAACAAGCCAAAACTTCTCATTCGTCGGTAAACACTTCGCATACCAATAGGTCTTCCGTGTTCTGCAAACCATTCATTTGCAATGGACCTGGTAGTGGAGAAACGGTCCCTTAAGGCCAATAATCTTGGGCGGCGATCTTCACGGTCTGTTGTTCTACGGCGGCATCCAGTGCCCCTTGCTCTTTGCGTACGGCCTTCTCGAAGCCATGCCTGACAACACCTAACCACAGTGTCTACACTTCTTTGCACTCTAACTGCAATTGCCCGAAAACTCACTAAGTTGACTAAATCGTACAGGTCTCCGTACTCTAGGCATCGTAACCGATCGTAAAGGATGTCAAGAACCAAAATCCGCCAACGTTGATTCTTTACTGCGGCTGAAATATTCATTTTTAGAGCGTTAGTGAATTAAAAAAAAGCAGTATGAAAACCGGAATGTCCAACTGATACGGCTGAAAATTTTTTCACTTGTTATTTACAGTAAGAATAATACATTCACCAACTTTTATTAAAATAAAACCATTTAAACTGGGTGTTCGGATTTATATAATCACATACATCATTCACAAAGATCAAAAATAATAAGGGGCCCAGGTTAGAGCCTTGTGGCACCCCAGATGACGAATTGTATCGAAACCATTGTAAGAAACGTACAGCTGTCGATTCCAAAAGTAAGACATTAATAGCGATATTGATTTGTCAGTAAAACCAAATGAACCCAGCTTAGCAACGAGCACCCCATGATCAACCTTATCGAAGGCTTTAGAAGAGTCAGTGTAAACTGCATCCAACTGTCACTGATTATCTAGGACATTCGAGGCTAACTGAGTGAATACTGCCAAATTGGTGAGAGTTGACTTACCACACATGAACCCATGCTGGAACTCGGATATTTGACACTATAGGTGGAAAGGTAGATGCGGTTGTAAAGAATTATTTCAAATAACTTGGCAAAATTATTCAATATTGAGATCGATCTATAGTTCTCAATTGAATCACGGCCACCCGCTTGGTAAATAGGACAAACCCTGGTTTCCTTCCATTTATCTAGGAATTTAGCTGTAGAGAATGTGATATTAAAAAGAATAACCAGAGCATCTACTATACCAAGCGCACAATCCTTGACCAGGAAAGAGGGGAGCTTATCTGGCCCTGAGGTCATCTTGGACTTTTTGCTGCATCACATATTCCATTTTCAGTTATACTTTCCTGAGTTAAGTTGACAATATATTGGATGTTAGAAGATAGGTTTTCACCGCAATAGGTACCAGATGGTAGGTAAACTGTCTTAAAGAATTCAGCGAAAGCATTTACAATTGACTGAGGATCACCTAAATCATTATTCAGATGGGTCATATGACTTGGAATTCGTGATGTTTTTGTTTTTTTTATATTCCAACTACCACGAAGGCCTAAGGCCTAAACACCCATTGGGTACCGTGGGGCTATAGTGGGATACAGGGGAAAGGGGGAACGCCACACGGACTCTGGCGAGGGAACACGTGTGCATGCAACATGCACACATTCTGGCTCCGCCTACGAGATCCGCCGGGTGGTACCTCCACGTTCGACAGTCAGAGACCGTCTACCACCTTCGGACAATCACAACATCCATAGCCAAGAGAAAAGTTTCTCCTGGGACGGGACTCGAACCCGCACAGCGCACGGCGACTGATCAGGAGACCGAAGAGTCTACTACTGCGGCCACCGCTGCTGCCTTTGATATATAAAATGATGGTGCCAAATAATGGTTCCTGATGATTAATATGAGGAAGCTTAATGATAAGAGCAGGATGATGGTTATCAGGTTGCACCAGAGGAATATGATCACACTCAGTAGTGCATACAACATTACTCAATACTAAATCTAAGCGCCTGTTGGATGTGTTCATTACATTATTATACTGTTTCAGATCTAGGAGAGATGGATGTAATCAAGAGGTCTCAAGTTTGCGCGGCTTCTAGAGGCGAACATTTGTCTGATATTGTTTTTCATAATTTCTATCCATCCTCCGTTAAAATTTTGGTCGATTCGGTTCAGGTAATTTCGGGATATTATTTATATCTTATTTCCAGAGAAGATACAAAAACAACATGTGTTACTGTGTACGATTATAATTCATCATGTATCTCCATTTTTGAAAAGCTTACATCATCTTTCTGGAACCATGTGTTATAGATCTGTAGTGGATCTGCATTCCAGTGTTTATGAAATGATAGTGGCTTTGGGACAGCTAGATAGTCCGACGTGTAATCCATTGGACGAGCCTGCAAAAAATACCAGCATATATGAACGTTATACAATACTTCAGTGTGGAGATTAGTGCATGTTTTTTGATGTTACATGGACGCTAAATGTACGATGCGTAGTTAGAGCGATTGCTATGAACATGGATAACAAAGACGCTGTGTCGCGGCATCCTGTAGCAGCGCGTAAAGCTGCCTATTCACAATCGCTCCATC